CAATGATAAACAAGGATTCTTCTCAAACACCCGTAAAATCATTTTGTCCTCCTTTTTCGTCGTTTTCTGCACAGAGCCACGATCCGGCAAGTCATCAACGTTTTTGACCTCGGAATAACGTTTCACCCACTTACTCACAAACGCCTTAGACTTCTTCATATACTTAGCAGCCGCTCCGCGCGACATTTTTGGTCCTTTCGGATGCGAACATAGAAACACAGCTTCGTAACGTGATGCGTACGCGGCACTCATGTTGAAATACGCCCTTTTGTGACGAAAGTCAAACGATAACTAAGGCTTTCTAGACAAAGCATCTTGGGAGAAGAGCCCCGCTATTGGCTCGCGTTCATATCCCCCCTCTAACGGTTTCGAGGAAAAAGTTTTGCCGTACACGCTCTTATCAAACATACTGTATATATATATATAGCTTTATACATACAATGCAAATACATATGTGTAATAACAAAGGAATCATTAGTAAACGTTAAATATTAAAAATTGTAATAAACATTTAATTAAATGTGTTGCGTTAAGCTCGACTTATAGGAATAGGGAAGTGGTAAGGATGAACCGAATCTAATAATGTAACTCAACTTACGAAATGGATTTGAAGTTTTACCTTGGAATTAAACACGAGAAATTCGCAGGGCGACGGATGGAATCTTATGGTGACGTTGTCCTCAGTAATCATATTGGGTAAGATCAACGGTAGCAAGTAATACAATATACCGCAACTGTACATGAAGGCTACTGAAACGATGCCGAATATGCGACCTAGTCTAGCATTCACCAGCATGATTTCTCTGTCCTGGGTGAGTATCGTGTGTCGCCAATCGTCGGCTACACGATCGACGCAGGTTTTCAACCGATCCTGATGCCACAGCAATAGAACATATCTCGCAAAAATCGTTAATGAGAAAATTAGCGGACACATCGTACGAAGTATCAGCATAATATCCCATTTCTCTTTAACAATAAGCACGATCCATGGCACGACGGTAAAAATTTGAAGAAACGTAGTGATCACCATTGACAACTTGTGCAGAACAATCTTATATAGCGAAACATCTTTCTCCATCAATGGCCAAGCACCGATCGGTTTCAACAAATAAACACTAATCTGAACGGCATAACAAAAATCCGAAATGTACAATTCATTTTGCTTCGTCGCCTCGGTAGCGAGCGTACTCATGTATACGCTTTCTTGCCCGAAATCAGTTTTTTCCATAATGTAATGTCGTCGCCGACTCGATCCTGACTGTCGATCGTGAAGTCAGAAATATAAATTTCTAGTAAGAAGCATGCGCGGCTCGTGTGATGAACTCACCCGTCTCCGTGGCCACGGTCGTGTATGAAAGTCGTCACTTTGATGACTCGTCATTTGCATTTTATAATATATTTTGTTAAAAGTTTACAGGGAAACAGCAGGTGCAATTGGAATATACCACGAAAAAGTTGAAGGAATCGCTACGCCATCGCGAGGACGACAGAGGAACAGAGGAAACTTCTACCCGGAGAAAATTGTGAAGTTACTGAGAACTCGTAATTCCTAATAATCCCTGATATTTCGAAAAACTCTATAACATGTCCAACATGAGGATCAGTCATGTAACTTTGTGGTTTGCCTTAACTCTCACTTTTTCTCTCCTTATATGTTACACGGTCCTATATTTTATCCCTTATAAATCATATCACTTAAACAGTTATTTTTGCATAAATACTTAATAAAATTGAAGAATTTTCGCAAAATTCGCTTAATCTTAATCACCTCGTCGAGAGTTCTACAAAGTTTATTTACATAACATTTCATAAAGAAACTTCGCGAAGCAAGTTGAAGTACGCCATTGAAGTCTTTAAAATCTAGAGTGTAATATATTACATCATTATTTGCGGTTCCCAAAATTTACGAAATAAACATAATCTTAGAATTCTTAGTTTCAGTTGTAATATCTAATACGCCACATCATGAATGTCTTTATCATGGATTTTTGTGTACTTACATTAGAAAAACTGCTCATAGTCATCGTCAGCATTTTGCCTGCGGTAAGCTCAACAGGATAATTCGACATAAGAATCGAAAGAATCATGCTACGTGCTTTATTCTGTGGTAGTCGGTACCACTCGATCGAGTAGCATTTAATTCCTACTTTCTGACATTGTTCTACGAGCATTTCGCCAATGTGGCAAAAAATATATATGTTAAAAGTGATGGATATGAAGGCGAGGAAGTACGTGGATATCTGTAACATTGATTCCTGATTGTTCCAGTCCTGCACACATAACAATATTAGAAGTACAACTTAGAAAAGTTATTACATAATAATCAGCATATGCATTTTCATTGTCTTTCACAAATATTTATCAACGGACATACCATAATTACGTAATAGCCGAGTAAACATATATTACACGAAGCATTTACGAATTCTGCTAAACATATTTCATTCATCACTTTATCCACATCGGTAATGAATCTGAAACAATTGTTATATAATGCAAGAAACTGTGAATTGAAAACAGCGAGACATTAAAATAAAAAAAATATACTCACTTGAGAATTCGTAAATGACGTATTACCGCGGTAGCAATCCTCTGATCGATGGTACCTTGATTTCGATTACCACCGTCGACCAACTCGTCGAAAAAATACATCAGTATTTCACACTGGCCACATACGTGAGTAACAAATTTGGCAGTTAGACTACAAATGCCGCAAAACACAGTAAACATAGTAAAACATGACAAAAATTCCATTACGTACACCGTTTCATAAACTGGGCTGGCCTGCACGTCATGTAATATATCATAAAATATAAAAACCAATATATTATATGTATGTAGTCGCAATGATATGTAATAATATTTTCTATCCGCGAATTATTTATATCAAATATTAATTTTTAACCCTCCGTCGGCATAATGGGTCTTTAAAGGCCGAGTAAAATTTTCGATTATAAATTTTAGAATAATTGATAAATGAAAGGACTTGGTAGCATGCTCTGAAAAAACTTAATAATAGTGAAATTATATGCATAAACACGTTAATATCCAGTCACTTCTAGTAATAACAATTAGAAAATGTGTTTGAATCCTCAATGATCCACTTTGCGACTATGTATTTTTGAAAATAAATAATTAGAATGTGTTGTTGTACTTTTTATATTTTCTGTTAATTTTAATATAATATAAAAATTTTATATACTATAATTTAATAAAATATAATTTTGACATAATGTAAAATTATATATAATAAAATATGAAATATAAAATAAAATATAAAATTTTTTTTATATGCTCGATCAAGCTGGTATCAATTCTATTATATTATTCAGTTTAAGAGCAGCTAATGTTCTGCCTTAAATAATTGAAATTAAAAATAAAATTGATATTAGCTTTGATATAGCCTTATTTCGAAGTTCGACTGCAAAATCACAAAAATTTATTAAGAAATATTAACACCATGATTTGACATATTAGAAATTGAAAAAGTTCCTCAATAAAGAACAAACTACAAAAACAAAAAGATGTTCATTTTGCACTGTAAAGGACAGAAAAACTATGTATTGTTGTGCACGTGCGAAAAGCACTGCACTCACTATTGTATATATAAACATTGTACTATTAAAATATTTTTATTTTTGGTATTTTTGCATAAATTTATATAAAAATAAATTGAATTTAATATTTATTTTGCTATAAAAATTATATTAATATTTATTTCCTTGAATAAAAAAAATTTTCATACGATCCGGAACAGTATAAAAATATGCACTAGTCCTCAACGACCCACCTTGCCGACGGTAGGTGCTAAATTATATCTTATCGGCGGCGAGTTAAACAAAATCTTGAATTCTCCTTGAAAGAAAAACTGAAATATTATAAGAGTTCTCTGTATTTTGTAAAAGAGCCATAGATAACTGCAAAATCGGAAACATCAATGCAACTTTCGACCATGAAAAAATTCAACATCATACATTGAATTAACCTGGGAATCCAGGATGAGCAATTCACAGGGATTTGGCAACGGTCTGAGTGTCACATTATCCATGAAAACGATTGGCGGTGCAAAAATTGGCATTATGCAGTAAAGTAGACCACTGCCGAACATGAAGGACACCGAGATGATTCCGAACAATCGTCCCGATCTAGCGTTCGCTAACATGATCTCGCGATCTTCGGCCAGCGTTGTGTTACGCCAGTCTTCGGCAACGCGTCCGATACAGGATTTGATCTCGTCCCGATGAAACAGCAACAGTAAATACCTCAGAAAGACCGTAATTGCAAAGATCAGCGGACAGGCAGTCCTGAGGATCTCGTAAAAGTCACATTGCGCGGTGAATATATAAATCATCCACGGAATAATCATGAAGAGTTGAAGAAACGTAGCGATGAAAATCGACAAGCCACGAGCGATCGTTCCCAACGCGGTATTCTCTAGCTCTAACGGCCAAACGCCGACCGGTTTCAACAAGCACAAGCTAATCTGTGCGGCATAATGGAAATCCAAAAGTCTGGTGTCATCTGTGGATTTCGACTCACCCATAATTGCATCGACTGTTCGCCTTGTCTACAATCTTAATGACGACCAGTCAGCGACTGATATTCAGTCTCTTTGATGGTCACGGGTTTATTGATAAGCATGCGCAAGATACGCACTTGGCGTTTTCCGATCGTGATGATTAGAGAACACTCCGATCATTCGTGACATACGCTTTGTAGAAAGTCTCGACGAAACAAAAGAACTATTGTCATGAATAAAGCGAGGAAATACTAATGACTCTACGAGAAACTTTAAAACACGGAGAGTACGTGTTCCGCTGCGCGATTACAAAGTTGGTTGTCGACTAACTCAAAGTTGCAGCTTGCAGTTACATTAAACTTCTTTTTGTGAAAGGGGAAAAGCGCAACTGAATATTCGTATCGTGATACTGAATATTATCTTGACAATACGTAATGAAACCATCCGCCGTTCGACACGCGAATGTTGCTTCGCTGTTGCGGCAAAGTGACGAATTCATGTAAGATGATGAGTGTTATATTTGATTGAAGGTAAGAAATTAGTATATTATGAGCGAGATAGTCGATATTTCGGTTGATGTTTATACAGTGACATCTTATGCCGCTACCATTCGAATAAAGTTGAAGTACGCCGCTGATGTTTTGCATACCTGCGAATATTCACAAAGTGATTCGTCGGACAATTAAATGAACTTTAAATTAACATAAAAGAGCAAAATTTACTTACGTCGCAGAAACTTTGAAGAGAGACATCGAACATCTTACCGGCTGTCAAGGCTGACGGACGACTCGACCTGACCATCACCATAATTAGATTGCTCATGTTTTTGGCGGGTAATGTATACCAATCGATGAAATATGACGTTTCTCCAATCTTTTCGCTCTTTTTAATTAGAAAAAGTTCAATGTAAATTTGGAGTGTTCAACTCGCATTGTATTTATTATCCATCAAAATAACGTTCCACTTACAACTTACTTCTTCTTTAAGACGTTCGCCGATAGTTGATAAGGTAAAGACGTTCACCAAAATAGATACCATTAAAATAAAATATATGATGGTGCCAAATATTTGATTATCTTCCCATTCCTAAATTTTGCATGAAAAAACTGTATAATTTAATTTTAACACGATAAATCAACACTGTATAATTTAATTTTAACACAATAAATCTATTAAGAAAAAACTTAAAATTACCTTGAAGACTCCATATTCCAAAAAACATATAATAATAGTACATCCGACCATTTCTGATAAGAAAACGACGTTTAAGGAGTTTTCAATCATTTCGGCAAATCTGCATTAAATATTATCACCGCATTAAAAATAAACATGGTTATTGTTACGAAACTCAATGCGAATCGGAAATAATAGTACTGTAAGCAACACCTGAATCGTTTCCAAAATATCATATTTATCTTTAAAACTTTCTTAAATCTACGTTACCTTCCATGATCATGATAATATATTTAACCTTTGTTATTTTTCACCGCAAAGCTAACATATTTTACTATAGCAATGAATATATATATCAAAATTATAAATTAATTGCGAATGACAAAAATTCAGAAAATTGTTTCCGACCTGAGAGCTTGCAGGTGCTGCTTGATTACACGGCCGAATCCTTCGTGCAAGTTATTGGTTCCATTCAAGACTACTGTTTCCAGTTGCCTGCGCGCGATTTCGAATAAGCAGCAAGCGTGCATCACGCAGGTGGCGATTAAACTGTAAACACCGCAGTTTGTGGAGAGGATGATAGTACTGAAGAGGATCTGCGTAACAAAAAGGATCTCGTAAAATGGCGACGACTCTACCACGAAGAAGATGTAGTCGCTGAGATACGGCAGTGGCAAATGCGTTGTGTTGTCCTCCTTGACGATCTTCTCCGCCACTAGTGGCATAATTATATGGTATGGCAACGCTCCGCCGTACAACAATCCTAAATACATCACGGTGAATTGCCTGCCAATCTTGGCGTTCCTGATCATCACCATTCGATCTTCTTCGCACTTCACATCTCTGTATTGCATCTCCACCTGTTGCAGGCAGTGCTTGATCTTGTTTTTGTTGATGATCATCGTCCAGAATTTGATGATGCCGAGCAAACTGAACACCTGAGCGGCTATCACCTTCATGTATCTGGTCAGGTCTTCTGCGTCAAAGAAGGTGTAGATGATGTGCGGTACAAGCAGAAAACACATTAAGCTGAATATTAAGCTCGTCTGGAGAACAGTCTTGATTTTGCTGGACGTGGAATCATCACCGTAGAGAGGCCAAATACCAACAGGTGTTAATAGAAATTTTGCGACTTTCACCACGTACTCCGCGTCGGACCTATAATTGATATTTCGAAATAACGTATGGTGGCTAACTGACGACATCCTCGCGTTTTTGTTCTATTTCCTTTTTTTTTTTTTTATTTCTTAAATGCTCAATTGTACCGTGCTTTCGATTTCAACTGAGGGGATTGCACGCACTCTCCGAGAGTTAACCCTAGGCGCTTGCGTGCGGAAAGTTTGCTTTCTAAAGCAATTTCCACAACAATGTAAGGGCTATTTTCTAGAATCATCGCCCATTCTTTCTTGCGGGAAGGAACATATCTATAATTTCAGCGTTTACGCAGGCGCTGTAGGATAAGCAGTGGACAAAGAGACGAAAGCTTACTTCGATGCTTAGTTAGTAACAATAAAAGACCGGGACTCAGAATATAATAATAAGTGAAATCTAACTCAAAATATCTGATATTTTTAAATTATAAAAGTATTATGCTATTTCGTAAGTTATTTATTGACCAGGAATATTTTCTTGTAAAATCAATTTTTTTAACTGTGCCTGAGACCAATGTGCTACGAAGATTATGGAATATTGTTAGGATTATGTGAACAATATAATCTTGCTGCGTGGGAATAAAAAGAAATTCTTAACTTTTCTGATAAATTCATAAAAATGTTCAAACCTATATTGTTGCACAAATTATACGTAGATGCAATATTATGTGCATGCGAGACATACAAGATGCAGGACAGCTCTACTACTTTTATTTTTAGTTACACTTATATAAATTCAACGCGACAAACTCAACTCTACAATTCACTAATTTCATCAGTATCATGTCATCAGTAAGATATTTTACTAGATATATATTTTTTATAAACTACAATATACACACCTAGCAATTTCATTATAATGACAATGATTGTGAAGAGGTTTCGAAAAGGGGAACAGTAATGATATCTCAGTAAAATTTGACACGAAAGACACATATTACACAATTTCGAAGTTAGACGCAACTCAGAATTGTAATTGCAATAAGTTCCTTTCGATCAGTAGAGAGGAAATCTCCCGTGAATGAAGATATTACGTGACATATATGACTGTTAGCAGTACGCTTTATTATTTAATAGAGTGTTGTGACAGCGTCACTGAAATGAAATTAAAAGAAAAATATTAAGTGAGATGTATGGTATGTAATGAAGTAGCAGTAACAACACGATATATCTTGTACATACACGGTAACCGATATGATGATATGTAGATTATGTAGTCATCGCTCTTATAAAATTGAAATACGCCGCTGACGTTTTGCAGACCTGTAAACGCTCGTAATACATAAAGTGGATTTTGTTTGTTAATTTTTAGATAAATATGACGGCGTACTCACCTCACAGAATCCTTGAAGAGAGAGGTCAAATATTTTTGCGGCAGTCAATGTTGAGGGACGGCTTGATCTGATCATCACTAGGATTAAGTCGCTTACGATTTTTTTCGGCAAAGTATTCCACTCAATGCAATATGACGATTCTCCTATTTTCTCACTCTACGTAACAATCAAAATATAGGTATCGATTGACTGATTAATTAAATATGACAATTTAATTCTTTTAACAACAATAGATGCTCTTGTGAGATGATACTATAACTTATAAATTCTATAGCATAAAAATATTCTGCAGAATCTTTACCTCTTCTTTAAGACGATCACCAATGAATGCTATAATATAGACGTTTACGAACATCGATGTCATCAAAACAAAATACGTGCCCATAGCTAAGGTTTCTCCGTCTTCCCATTCCTAAAATAAACTTAATGAATAAAATTGCGTTAATGGATCTTGCACGAGTGTAATATTTGATAAAAGTACCTTGAGGACTCCAAATTCTAAGAAACATATAATAATAGTGCATCCAACCATTTCGCATAAGAAAACAATGTTCAATGAGTTCTCAATCATCTCAGCAAATCTATAAATTATTAGAGCAAGTCATACATAAATAAAATTAAAATTAAAACTGAGAATTAATTTTTTCCTTGCGTTTTAATTGTTTTTACTGTATCTATGAAGACGTATGCTCTCTTCCTAATTGTTTAATTCGATATTACTTATTACAGTAATTTACATTTTATAAGATCTGATGAAAAAATGATAATCCATACAAAGCGCTTCTAAGCTTTTCTTACCTAATGGCTCGTATATGATTTTCGATTATGCGGCCGAGTCGTTTGTGCAAGTGATTGGTTCCATCGTTGAGGACTGTTCCCAGTTGTCTGCGAACGATTTCGAATAAACAGCAAGCATGCATCACACAGGTAGCAATCAAGCTATAAACGCCGCAGTTAGTGGAAAGGATAATACTGCTGATTAATATTTGCGAGACGAAAAGGATCTCGTAAAACGGCGAGTTTTCTACCACGAAGAAGATATAATCACTTAAATATGGTAAAGGTATCTGTGTTGTATTGTCTTCTTTCACGACTCTCTCCTCCAATAATGGCATGATTATGTGATAAGGTAAAGCACCACCGTATGACAATCCCAGGTAAGTTATGGTAAAGAGCCTACCAATCTTGGCGCTCTTCGTCATCACCAGTCGATCCTCCTCGCACTCTACGTCTTTGTATTGGATCTCCATCTGTTGCAAGCAATATCTAATGCCATCCCTATTGATGATCATTGTCCAGAACTTAATGATGGCGAGCAGGCTGAACACTTGAGCGGCTATGACCTTCATATATCTACTCAAGTCCTCCGCGTCGAAGAAGGTGTATATGACGTGCGGAATAAGCAAAAAGCACATAAAGCAGAATATTACACTTGTCTGAAGGTAAGTCTTGATCTTGTCAGAGGTGGAGTTGCCGCGGTAGAGCGGCCAAATGCCGATTGGAGTTAACAGGGTCTTGGCAACCTTCACCACGTACTCGGTGTCGGACCTGTAATTAAGGTTCCGAAATATCATGCTGTCGTTGCTCATCGACATTGTCCAGAAGGTTTATTGTTGCTCGATCACGTTACACGTATGCCACTGACGTATGCCGACGACTGACGGATGCGAACATTCTATCCTTCGGTCAACAACGAGTGCCTGCGTGCAAAGTTTGCCAACCTACAGCGATTTCCCATGAGTAATCTGCTGCAAATAGTGAAACTTTTAACAGCAAAGAAAATTTATGCAATTCAACAGAAAACGCATGCGCTGAAGTGGGGGCGGTTTTGATCTCTTCCAGAGCCGAGGATTCACTCTTCCACGTCGACTAAAGAAAGATCCTTTTAGAGCATATCGATAAGACAATATTCTCGCATTCTCTTGCGCTGCGAAGAACAGCGAAGCGCGATTTACGGCGATTAGTGCAAATTGTTTAATGCCAGAAGTGAACGTGGTGAAACCATTAGAATCGAATCTTCCATTTCACCATACGAGATAGTCATAAAAGTGTGTGTTAGTCATCAGGACGTGAACAGATGTCAGAATATAAGTGTGTGCTTCTTTCAGTTACAATATGGGAGTTACAGAAGAGTACGATGTCGATGTTCGCAGCGGAGATTGTCGGTACGGGTATTTTCATATTTATCGGATGCATGGGGTGTATTGGTACAATGGGACCTGCACCACCCTTGCCAATGCAAACGGCGCTTATCTTTGATCTGGCGATAAGTCTCATAATTATGGTACGTTAATAAGCATAATTAATTCAAGTACTTTATGCTCTCGCTCCAGCAATTAATCTTAATACCGGATAACATGGACTTCTTATACGCGGCGCATAGGACAATTTTCTCACATTATTACATGGACGACAACAACTTGTGCAAAACAATCTTATATAGCGAAACATCCTTCTCCATCAATGGCCAAGCACCGATTGGTTTCAACAGATAAATACTAACCTGGACGGCATAACGAAAATCCGAAGTGTACAATTCATTTTGCTTCGTCGTGTCGGTAGCGAGCGTACTCATGTATACGCTTTCCTGTCGGAAATCAGTTTTTTCCATAATGTAATGTCGTCGCCGACTCGATCCTTATTGTCGATCGTGAAGCCAGAAATACAAATTTCTAGTAAGAAGCATGCGCGGCTCGTGTGATGAACTCACCCGTCTCCGTGGCCACGGTCGTGTATGAAAGTCGTCACTTTGATGACTCGTAATTTGCATTTTATAATATATTTTGTTAAAACTTTAGAGGGAAACAGCAGGTGCAATTGGAATATACCACGAAAAAGTTGAAGGGATTGCTACGCCATCGCGAGGACGACAGAGGAACAGGGGAAACTTCTACCCGGAGAAAATTGTGAAGTTACTGAGAACTCGTAATTCCTAATAATCCCTGATATTTCGAAAAACTCTATAACATGTCCAACATGTGGATCAGTCATGTAAGTTTGTGGTTTGCGTTAACTTTCACTCCTTCTCTCCCTGTATGTTACACGATCCTATATTTTATCCCGTATAAATCATATTACTTAAACAGTTATTTTTGCATAAATACTTAATAGAATTGAAGAATTTTCGCAAAATTCGCTTAATCTTAATCACCTCGTCGAGAGTTCTACAAAGTTTATTTACATAACATTTCATAAAGAAACTTCGCGAAGCAAGTTGAAGTACGCCATTGAAGTCTTTAAAATCTAGAGTGAAATATATTATGTCATTATTTGCGTTTCCCAAAATTTACGATATAAACATAATCTCAGAATTGTTAGTTTCAGTTGTAATATCTAATACGCCATATCATGAATGTCTTTATCATGGATTTTTGTGTACTTACATTAGATAAACTGCTCATAGTCATTGTCAGCATTTTGTCTGCGGTACAACAGAATAATTCGACATAAAAATCGAAAGAATTATGCTGCGTGCTTTATTCTACGGTAGTCGGTATCACTCGATCGAGTAGTATTTAATTCCTACCTTCTGACATTGTTCTACGAGCATTTCGCCGATGTGGCAAAAAATATATATGTTAAAAGTGATGGATATGAAGGCGAGGAAGTACGTGGAAATCTATAACATTGATTCCTGATTGTTCTACACACATAACATTCCTGCACACATAACAATATTAGAAGTACAACTTAGAAAAATTATTACAGTATATGTATTTTCATTGTCTTTCACAAGTTAATGATATTCACTTAATGCTAGTGAAAACTTAATGATGAAATTATACATGCATAAACACGTTAATATCCAGTCACTTCTAGTAATAGCAACTAGAAAATGTGTTTGAATCCTCAATGATCCATTTTGCCGACTATTTATTTTTGAAAATAAGTAATTAAAATGTGTTCTTGTATTTTTTATTTTTTGTGTTAATTTTAATATGATATAAAAATTTTATAATATAATTTAATAAAATATAATTTTGACATAATGTAAAATTATATATAAGAATATATGAAATATAAAATAATATATAAAATATTTTTATATGCTCGATCAAGCTGGTGTCAATTCTATTATATATATTCTTCAGTTTAAGAGCAGCTAATTACCTGCCTTAAATAATTGAAATTAAAATAAAATTTATATTAGCTTTGATATAGCCTTCGAAGCTCGACTGCAAAATCAAAAAAATTTATTAACAAATATTAAAACCATGATTTAGCATATTAGAAATTGAAGAAATTCCTCAACAAAGAACAAACTACAAATACAAAAAGATGTTCATTTTGCACTGTAAAGGATAGAAAAACTATGTATTGTTATGCACGTGCGAAAAGCGCTGCACAATTGTAAATATAAACACTGTACTATTGTATATATAAACATTGTATAACTATTGTAAATATAAACATTGTACTATTAAAATATTTTTATTTTTGGTATTTTTGCATTAATTTTTATAAAAATAAATTGAATTTAATAATCATTTTGCTATAAAAATTATATTAATATTTATTTCCTCGAATTAGAAAAATTTTTATACAATCCGGGACAATATAAAAATATGCACTAGTCCTCAACGACCCACCTTGCCGACGATTGATGCTAAATTATATCTTATTGGCGGTGGGTTAAGAAAAAATCTTGCATTCTCCGTGAAAGAAAAACTGAAACATTATAAGCGTTCTCTGTATTTTGTAAAAGAGCCATAGATAACTGCAAAATCGGAAATATCAATGCAACTTTTGACTTTGAAAACATTTAGCATCATACATTTAATTAATCTAGGAATCCAGGATGAGCAATTTACAGGGATTTGGCAACGATCTGATCGTCACATTATCCGTGAAAACGATTAGCGATGCAAAAATTGGCATAATGCAGTAAAGTAGACCACTGCCAAACGTGAAAGACACCGAGATGATTCCGAACAATCGCCCCTATCTAGTGTTCGCTAACATGATCTCGCGATCTTCGGCCAGCGTTGTGTTACGCCAGTCTTCGGCAACACGTCCGATACAGGATTTGATCTCGTCCTGATGAAACAGCAACAGTAAATACCTCAGAAAGACCGTAATAGCGAAGATCAGCAGTCATACAGTCCTGAGAATCTCGTAAAAGTCACATTGCGCGGTGAACATATAAATCATCCACGGAATAATCATGAAGAGTTGAAGAAACGCAGCGATGAAAATCGACAAGCCCCGAGCGATCGTACCCAACGTGGCATTCTCTAGCTCTAACGGCCAAACGCCGACCGGCTACAACAAGCACAAACTAATCTGTTTGGCATAATGGAAATCCAAAAATCTCGCGTTATCTGTGGATTTCGACTCATAATTGCATTGACTGTTCGATAGACCTTGTCTACAATCTTAATGACGACCAGCCAGCGACTGATATTCAATCTCTTTGATGGTCACGGGTTTGTTGATAAGCATACGCAAGACACGCACTTGGCGTTTTCCGATCGTGATGAAACCATTCGCCGTTCGACACGCGAATGTTGCCTCTCTGTTGTGGCAAAGTGACGAATTCTTGTGAGATGATGAGTGTTATATTTGGTTGAAGGTAAGAAATTAGTATATTATAAGCGAGATAGTCTATATTTTGGTTGATGTTTATACAGTGACGTCTTATTCCTCTACCATTCGAATAAAGTTGAAGTACGCCGCTGATGTTTTGCATACCTGTGAATATTCACAAAGTGATTCGTCGGGCAATTGAATGAACTTTCAAATTAACGTAAAAGAGCGAAATTTATTTACGTCACTGAAACTTAGAAGAGAGACATCGAACATCTTACCGGCTGTCAAGGTTGACGGACGACTCGACTTGCCATATTTAGATTTCTTATGTTTTTGGCGGGTAATATATACCAATCGATGAAATATGACGTTTCTCCAATCTTTTCGCTCTTTTTAATTAGAAAAAGTTCAATGTAAATCTGGAGTGTTCAATTCGCATTGTATTTATTATCCATCAAAATAACGTTCTACTTACAACTTACTTCTTCTTTAAGACATTCGCCGATAGTTGATAAGGTAAAGACGTTCACCAAAATAGATACCATTAAAATAAAATATATGATGGTGCCAAATATTTGACTATCTTCCCATTCCTAAATTTTGCATGAAAAAACTGTATAATTTAATTTTAACACAATAAATCTATTAAGAAAAAACTTAAAATTACCTTCACGACTCCATATTCTAGAAAACATAATAATGGTGCATCCAACCAGTTCTGATAAGAAAACGACGTTTAAGGAGTTTTCAATCATTTCGGCAAATCTGCATTAAATATTATCACCGCATTAAGAATAAACATGGTTATTGTTACGAAACTTAATGCGAATCGAAAATAATAGTGCTGTAAGCAACACATCAATCGTTTCCAAAATATCATATTTATCTATAAAACTTTCCTAAATCCACGTTCCATGATCTTGATAATATATTAAGTCTTTGTTATTTTTTATCGCAAAGCTAACATATTTTACTATAGCAATAAATAGATATCAAAATTACAAATAAATTGCGAACGACGAAAATTCAGAAAATTTTTTCTGACCTGACAGCTTGCATGTGTTGCTTGATTACTTGGCCGAATCCTTCGTGCAAGTTGTTGGTTTCACTCATGACTATTGTTTCCAGTTGCCTGCGCGCGACTTCGAATAAGCAGCAAGCATGCATCACGCAGGTGTTGATTAAGCTGTAAACACCGCAGTTTGTGGAGAGGATGATAGTACTGAAGAGGAGTTGCGTGACAAAAACGATCTCGTAAAATGGCGACGACTCTACCACGAAGAAGATGTGGGTGCTGAGATACGGCAGTGGCAAATACGTCGTGTTGTCCTCCTTGACGATCTTCTCCTCCAATAGTGGCATAACCATATGGTATGACATCGCTCCGCCGTACGCCAATTCTAAATATATCACGGTGAATTGCCTGCCAATCTTGGCGTTTTTGATCATCACCATTCGATCTTCTTCGCACTTGACATCTTTGTATTGTATCTTCATCTGTTGCACGCAGTGCTTGATCTTGTTTTTGTTGATGATCATCGTCCAGAATTTGATCATGCCAAGCAAACTGAATACCTGAGAGGCTATTACCTTCATGTATCTGGTCAGGTCTTCTGCGTCAAAGAAAGTGTAGATGAAGTGCGGTACAAACACAAAACACATTACGCTGTATATGAAGCTCGTCTGGAGAACAGTCTTGATTTTGTTGGACATGGAATCATCACCGCAGAGAGTCCAAATACCAATAGGTTTTAATAGAAATCTTGCGATTTTTATCACGTACTCCGCGTCGGACCTATAATTGATATTTCGAAATAACGTATAGTGGCTGACGATATCCTCGCGTTTTTGTTTCCTTTTTTTTTATTTCTTAATTGCTCAATCGCACCGTGCTTTCGATTTCAACTGAGGGGATTGCACGCGCTCTCCGAGAGTTAACCCTAGGCGCTTGCGTGCGGAAAGTTTGTTTTCTAAAGCAATTTCCACAGTAATGTAAGGGCTATTTTCTAGAATAATTGCCCTTTCTTCTTGCGGGGAGGAACATATCTAATTATAGATAATTTCAGTGTTTACGTAGGCGTTGTAGAATAAGCGGTGGACGAAGAGATGAAAACTTTCTTTGACACTTTGACGGTAGTAATAAAAGACCGGGGCTCAGAATATAATGATAAGTGAAATCTAACTCAAAATATTGATATTTTTAAATCATAAAAGTATTATGCTATTTCGTAAGTTATTTATTCACCAGTAATATTTTTTTGTAGAATGAATCTTTTTAACTGTGCCTGAGACCAAAGTGCTACGAAGATTATGGAATATTGTTAGAATTGTATGAACAATATAATCTTGCTGCGTGGAAATTCTTAACTTTTCTGATAAATTCATAAAAATGTTCAAACCTATATTGTTGCACAAATTATACGTAAATGCAATATTATGTGCATGCGAGATATACAAGATGCAGGACAGCTCTACTACTTTTATTTTTAGTTACACTTATATAAATTCAACACGGCAAACTCAACTCTATAATTCACTATCTTTTATCAGTATCTTATCATCAGTAAGATATTTTACTAGAAACATATTTTTTATAAACTACAATATACACATCTACCAATGTCCTTATAATGACAATGATTGCGAAGAGATTTCGAAAAGTGGAACAGTAATAATATCTCAGTAAAATTCGACACAAAAGATACATATTACACAATTTCGAAGTTAGACGCAACTCAGAATTGTAATTGCAATAAGTTCGATCAGTAGAGAGGAAATCTCCCATGAATGAAGATATTGCGTGACATATATGACTGTTAGCAGTACGCTTTATTATTTAATAGAGTGTTGTGACAGCGTCACTGAAATAAAATTAAAAGCAAAATATTAAGTGAGATGTATGTGATGAAATAGCAGTAACAACACAATATATCTTGTATATACATGGTAGTCGATATAATGATATTCATAGATTATACAGTCATCGCTCTTATAAAATTGAAATACGCCGCTAATGTTTTGCAGACCTGTAAACGCTCGTAATACATAAAGTGGATTTTGTTTATTAATTTTTAGATAAACATGACGGCGTACTCACCTCACAGAATCCTTGAAGAGAGAGGTCAAATATTTTTGCGGCAGTCAATGTTGAGGGACGGCTTGATCTGATCATCACTAGGATTAAGTCGCTTACGATTTTTTTTGGCAAAGTATTCCACTCAATGCAATATGACGATTCTCCTATTTTCTCATTCTACGTAACAATCAAAATATAGATATCGATCGACTGATTAATTAAATATGACATTTTAATTCTTTTAACAACAATGGATGCTTTTGTGAGATACTATAACTTATAAATTCTCTAGCATAAAAATATTCTGCAGAATCTCTATCTCTCCTTTAAGACGATCACCAATGATTGTTATAATATAGACGTTTACGAACATCGATGTCATCAGAACAAAATACGTGCCCATAGCTAAGGTTTCTCTATCTTCCCATTCCTAAAATAAACTTGAGGTAATGAATAAAATTGCGTTAAGAGATTTTGCACGAGTGTAATATTCGATAAAATTATCTTGAGGACTCCAAATTCTAAGAAACATGTAATAATAGTGCATCTAACCATTTCGTATAAGAAAACAATGTTCAATGAGTTCTCAATCATCTCAGCAAATCCATAAATTATTAGAGCAAATCATACATAAATAAAATTAAAATTAAAACTGAGAATTAATTTTTTCCTTGCGTTTTAATTGTTTTTACTATATCTATGAAGACGTATGCTCTCTTCCTAATTGTTTAATTCGATATTACTTATTACAGCAATTTATATTTTATAAAATCTGATGAAAAAATCATAATCCATACAAAGCGCTTCTAAGCTTTTCTTACCTAATGGCTCGTATATGATTTTCGATTATGCGGCCGAGTCGTTTGTGCAAGTGATTGGTTCCATCGTTGAGGACTGTTCCCAGTTGTCTACGAACGATTTCGAATAAACAGCAAGCATGCATCACACAGGTAGCGATCAAGCTATAAACGCCGCAGTTAGTGGAAAGGATAATACTGCTGATTAATATTTGCGAGACGAAAAGGATCTCGTAAAACGGCGAGTTTTCTACCACGAAGAAGATATAATCACTTAAATATGGTAAAGATATCTGTGTTGTATTGTCTTCCTTCACGACTCTCTCTGCCAATAATGGCATGATTATGTAATAAGATAAAGCACCGCCGTATGACAATCCCAGGTAAGTTATAGTAAAGAGCTTACCAATCTTGGCGCTCTTCATCATCACCAGTCGATCCTCCTCGCACTCTACGTCTTTGTATTGGATCTCCATCTGTTGCAAGCAATATCTAATGCCATCCCTATTGATGATTATCGTCCAGAACTTAATGATGGCGAGCAGGCTGAACACTTGAGCGGCTATGACCTTCATGTATCTACTCAAGTCCTCCGCGTCGAAGGTGTATATGATGTGCGGAATAAGCAAAAAGCATATGAAGCAGAATATTACACTTGTCTGAAGGTAAGTCTTGATCTTGTCAGAGGTGGAATTGCCGCGGTAGAGCGGCCAAATGCCGATTGGAGTTAACAGGGTCTTGGCAACCTTCACCACTATAATGTCGTTTTTCAAGCTTTGAAAGATAATGTGTGACGTCACAGATACAGAATGTTAAAGTAAAAAAGATAAATTTAAAAATCCAACCGTGCTTACGAGTAAATGCAACACGTACAAGCAGTGATTCAAGTGAGCACTCCACATATCTATAAGACGATATTCATATCGATAAGACGACATTCTCGCATTCTCTTGCGCTACGAAGAGCAGCAAAGCGCGATTTACGGCGATTAGTGCAAATTGTTTACTGCCAGAAGTGAACGTGGTGAAGCCATTAGAATCGAGTCTTTCGCTTCACCATGCGAAATAATCATAAAAGTGTGTGTTAGTCATCAGGACGTGAACAGATGTCAGAATATAAGTGTGTGCTTCTTTCAGTTACGATATGGGAGTTACAGAAGGGTACGATGTCGATGTTCGCAGCGGAGATTGTCGGTACGAGTATTTTCATATTCATCGGATGCATGGGGTGTATTGGTACAATGGGACCTGCACCACCCTCGCCGATGCAAACGGCGCTTACCTTTGGTCTGACGATAAATCTCATAATTATGGTACGTTAATAAGCATAATTAATTCAAGTACTTTACGCTCTCGCTCCAGTAATTAATCCTAATTCCGGATAACATGGACTTATACGCGGCGCGCAGGACAATTTTCTGACATTATTACATGGACGAGAAAAAAATACAGACTTTCTTAGATGCTTGGTCACATAAGCGGAGCTTACCTCAATCCAGCTATCACCATCGGTGCTGTTATCGTAGGCCTGAAAACGATTCCGACTGGCACGATTTACATACTGGGCCAGTTTATCGGCGCTATCGTAGGATATGGACTTTTAAAAGTATCTTTTCCTTATATTATAGCTATTAGCACAACGTATATGTTCGTGACAAGCGAATTATAACGGCACACATTTTTCAGACAATAACACCGGCTGAGCTGTTTAACGACGGGAACCCAAACTCAACAGTCGGTCTTTGCGTCACATTTGTGCATCCAGGGATTAACATTGTACAAGCTGTACTGATCGAAATGTTCTGCACAAGTTGTATACTTCTCGCAGCCTGTGCCACATGGGATCCTCGATGCGCACACACTACAGACTCGACTGCCCTCAGATTTGGTCTCTCAATCACAGCCATCTCTATCGGAGCGGTGGGATCATTCTTGACAAATAGGCTTTTTATACTCACTTCGTTATTTAATATTAATTATTTTTAAATTTTTATTATTGTTTAAACTATTTCCTTTGTAATTTCCTTTGTAAATTCCTATATACTCTTTTACAAAAATCGTTCGTCTTATATCGGTAATTTCTTTTCAAAATATACTACTTTGCGTACGCAAATAGTAAAGCAGAAAAATTTGTAATTAGTCAATTAAGCTTCTTCTATCTTTCCAGAGTCCTTATACCGGATGCAGTATGAATCCTGCGCGATCATTCGGTCCTGCCTTCTGGAACAACACTTGGAAGGATCAATGGGTAAGTCAAAAATAAAGTCAACTATATATTTTTCAGCAGGTTTATTTTAACAAGTTTTTTTCATTTTATCGTACATTGATGTATTTCTCCTTTTAATTTTTAACGCGTAAAACTTGATTTCATTTATAACGAGTTTCGATCAATTATAATCATTTTTATCAAACTGTGTATTGTATTGTATATATATATATAATATATGCATGTAACAACGAGCATATAAACAATTAAATTATAACCTTGATTTACAAAATTATTATAAGTTTATTAAATAATATAAATTTTTTTAAATCGATTACATTTGCATATCATGATTAAAGAACAAGCAAGATATTCTATGGAGAATAAAACATATTTTCACAAATAATTATAATTATCGATTAATAAAACAAACAATCAATAAAATAATTAAACAAATAATATTTTTGCTTTTTCTTTCGCTTTTCTGAAGCTTTTATTAAATTATTCAATTTTTTTGTTTGCATAGATTTATTGGCTCAGTCCCTGCTTGGGAGCTTTACTTGGAACGTACATCTATCAAGTGCTATTTGCAGAAAAAAAATTAAACAAAAGTGAACCTACTTACTCAACCGACGAAAAGTCGCTTAACATTTTATCACGACTAGATGTAACATAGATATTATTTATATTATAATCAATCATTTAATGTGCAATCTCTTTGATTTATATTGTTAGTTAATAATTTATTACGTGTGCATGATATATAATGTTTATGACTTTTCCTGAAATCTAAGGTCTATGTATTAAAATATAACGTCCTCCGATAAAATACCTATTTATAAATATTACATTATTGAAGATGATAATGTTCGAAATATTGCAATGGATAAACTTTTGCGAAATATAAACATTAAAAAATATTAGATGCTTTTTACAAGTTCACGTTTTCTCAATATTTCTATATTAATATGCTATCAATATTCAATCCATCTTTGTGCCACCGTCGTCCTGTATCCAGTTTCCCAAATCCGTTTATTCTTACAGATTAGATATTCTTCAATACAATCGCGGCATTCAAACGCTGATTTGACTCTTATTATGGTTTTTTTACAACGTATACATATTAGTCCGTTATATGCTATTCTTTCATGGACCAGAGTATGACGAGCAACTCGTAAACAATTTATCCTGTACAGCATGCGAATATTTATATAACATCTATGACAGTATTTTATCCCACGGGTTCCTACTTGTTCGTAGACTTCCTCGATTGTGTGGCAACATCGGAGATATTGTAAATTATTGTAAGTTATCAAGTGATCTTGCGGTCTTACACCATCTATTGGACCGTATACTTCTTTTACATTAGGTACATCCATACGTTTATGATACACTGGCATTTTGTACTGCAATCAGTAATTATAGTGTTAGTTTGACTCTCTGTTATAATAAATAAAAGGAAAATGGTTTCAACTCGCTTTAATATAATAGTTACTCACTTTTGAAATTTTCCTAAATCCTAGAGTAGATAGCCCAAGATACAAAAAGTCGAGAAGATATTGAAAATTAAAATTAAAATAACAGTTAAAATGGCCTATATAAAATAAATAGAGAGAGAAAGGGAGCGAAATTGAAAAAATAAGACTTTAATAAGATAGAATATGTTTTGACATACGCGACTTTCGAAACAATTACAGAATTACTTTTTCTAATATCTTCTATATATTTTTCATGTTGTCTAATATTGTCGTATATTACTCAAAGTTTGTTTATTTAGTGCATTCCACTAATTGTTTTAAGTAGTGTATAGATATAAGAAGTATAGTTATTATTAAAGAAGTATAATTATTATTAAAGAAGAAGTAAGTATTATTAAAGTTTTGTTACTTACTCAAGATATATTGTGTCTGCCACGAAAATAACGGTCTAATAACTATACAAAATTAAATAATATCACGACTTATTATCCATTATTATTTCGCGCGTATATGTGCTAAACTGAAGTGTATCATATCGGGAAATGTAAATATATACAAAATTATCACGTGATACATGATATAAATAGTAAATGTAAATATATTCTGATGATCTTGCCTGATACAAAGAGATATGCAAGGTATAATAACTCCATAACAATCTGCAAAATTAGAATACAATTTTAAAACTTATTGTGTGACACAAAATATTTTACAATTTGATTTATAACTTGAAATAATTATTACTTCATTTATATAAACACAGAAAATTTATCGTCTAAAATTATACATATTAATATATTCAAGGTTATAATTCTTATGAACATTTTGCGATCTATTGTTACTGAATATTAAAAATTTGTTCTGATATATTGACGTTATAATATTCTAAAATATTAGAACGTTTTCTGCAATAAATTTTCCCGTATCTATCTGATAGTATGCTGTCATAGCAGCTTTAATTTCATAAATTACGTAAATATAAGGAAGATTTTTGTTAAAAAAATTAAATTATTTTTAAATATAGACCTAATGTGAGAAGAAATACATTAAATAAAATTTAAATGAATATTGTTTAGTTATCTTATATCTTAAAACTTAACGTTTACGACTTGAAGCTATATGATGACGAAGAAAAATTCGAAATATTTTTTATGCTATTTAAAATGAATTTCAATGAAATTAATCTCAATGAGTGAACACATTTCTCAAACAAATGTTAAGGAAAAATATAATCATTTTTGCTATTAATTACATCTATTTTCTCTAAGTTATCATCTATCGGTTATGCTTCCTTTATAGTAACTTCAAATTGCAGTAGATGGCGGATGTAACTCGCCGAGATTAGAGTCACTCTAAGCAGAGTTTGGCCATTACGTGTGGTTTCGTCAAAATCCTGCGAGAAACAAAGACATATTTTCAATTTCTCTTTTTGGCCGGTATTCATAGTCCGATCTTATACTTAAGATTATTTTAAGATCATCTTAAGATGTCATAAATCAATCACAGAGCAGTATTCGTATCTTAAGACATTACTTAAGACGGTCTTGAAATAAGATTCGACTATGAATACCTTTGTCTATCTTTTTTTAACCTAACTTAAGTTATTGCCATAGGCGTATTGTGATTGAATATTGTATGAGATTTGACGAAACAAAGCAGACCAATCAAAAGTTCCCCCTTATTGGCCAAACTCTGCTTAGAGTGACTCTAGCCGAGACTAGAGTCCCTATAAGATAGAGTCTGGCCACGTGCGTGTTCCTCCTTATTGGTCGAAACCTTGTTTCGACTATGAATACTTTTGTCTATCTTTTTTTAACCTAACTTAAGTTACTGCCATAGGCGTACTGTGATTGAATATTGTATGAGATTTGACGAAACAAAGCAGACCAATCAAAAGTCGAATATTGGAAAAACATGGCAGAACCAATAGAAATTGTCATGGGAAGCGGGATAATTTGAAAACTAAAATAAGAAAATTATGAACATATAGTAGTCTTTTTTATATTAAACTGTAAAATGAATAAATAAAAACATAATTTTGATTGTAAACTTGAAAATCTGATTGTAAACTTATTAATCTGCAGGAAGCGAATACAGTGAAAAGTCTTTCTGATAATAGTTCTTGCATCGTAGAACACAACACGTTGGCATTTTGAAATCTGAAAATTCATATTTCGTATTGCATTATTTTATACAATTGCCTCTTCAGATACCGTTCTGAATAAAATGAGGTTACGATGACAATTTATATAATGAACACCTTTTTTTATATCACAATTTTTAACTAAATTAACTTTTTTATTTTGGAAACCACATACAGAATAATTTTACTTACTTCTATACAAACAATTTATATAATACTAACAATTTATACTCAAACTGACACTGGTATTTATCGCATTACGAGATAACGCGATAAATACCAGCTGCGTTCATATATATACGGCTGCTATATTTTTCAAAAACTAGTCGAGTGGCCAGATTCTATCTTATAGGGATTTTAGCCGAGATATAATATCACTCATCAGTTATCACCAACGTTTTCCATTTCTAGTTTAGGTACTTTCAAATTAATCGAATCATATTTAAATATTCATATATTATGACTAAAAACTATTTCTATTTCTGAATTAATATATTATTATATAATTTGTTATGTTTTAAATTCTCAGCTTATATTTCACATTATTTTTACGTACAGAAGTGAAATACTTACGAATGTTGAATACACATACTTAAACAAGGTTCATAATCTTGTTGAACCTTTAGACTGCTGACATTTTTTCATTAAAAAAGTGGTTTCTTTTTCTCAAAAATTTTTCTATATAAATAACATACACATGGCATAGAATTTTGAGATTTGTGCAGAGCCACAAAAGTGACTTTCCCGGCAATCTAAAGATTAAAACAATGTTTAAACCAATACGGTAAAATATCAACAATGCAAAGTATAATAGCATAATTTTTTCTTCTTTCATCTGAAATCAATATTATTCGTTCTTTTTTAATAATTATAAATTATTAATTTTTTTTAACCATTACAAAATGATTATTGAAATTATTATAGAAATTATTCACTAATATAATCACTTAAGATCAATGATATAATATGGAGATTCTCTCGACACACCAAACAACTAATCAATACCTACAAAAGTTACACATATTTGCTCAATGGATAACAATTGAATGAATTGACTGTAAACAAAGAGAACTTGCTCTATCTCTCTTCTCTCTCTCTCTCTCTCTCTCTCTCTCTCTCTCTCTCTCTCTCTCTCTCTGTCTCTCTCTGCAAGTAAGTTATATAATCTATCTTTATATATATATATATATATATATATATATATATATATATATATATATATATGATATGATAAAAAATTTATATAATTTTTTAATAGATTGGAATTGTTCTTCCAGAGATATAAACATCGTATTTCAAAACACTACCCATTTCTTTTCGCGGTTCAAAAGTAGACCGTCGTCGTGGGTGAGATCTAATATATATAGTTGAAGAGCAACCTGGAAATTTCTAGAATATCAGAAGAGACCCCATGCCGTGTGCTGAGTCCTGAATTATTTTTATCTGCTTACTCTTAGACGAAGCGAGAGTTCGCTTTTCCTCTGTGTACATACATATACAGCTTCTTTCTACGCTGTGACATTTGACTTTTTCTTCGAAGATAAATACAAAACAAAAATACAAGTCAACAAATTGCATACTTTCATTCCAGATAAAAACTTGCACGTGTCATAGACTAGAAGTAAGAAATTCCTATTCACCTTGAAATTATTTTCTTACTTAATGTAGAAGTGTCAAACATATTTGCATATCTAGAATAAGAAGTTGAACATATAAAGAGTTCTTCACGATAACTAAATATTACTTTCTCAAATCTTAATTCAATTTAACTATATAAAGATGTATGATTTTAACAAGATAATTTTTGGGTGATTATTTTGGCATTTCGTAAAAATTCTAATACATGTAATCCCTTACCATTAGTTATATAATTTCAAGCCAATTTATTCGATAGCATCAGATTCACCGGTCGGGCAAACGTCGTGTTATGAGGTTCATCAACCTTCACCCAGCGACACACTGTCGCCGACTAGGACTTGGTCAGATGCGATCGATAATAGGGCGTTTCACGGAGGTTTCGAGAACGCGCTCGGCCATATTCACACCTGCGTGCACCTCCGTCCTGCGGCCCTGCCATATAGAAATGCTTGCAGCATTGTTATGCCACAAGTGTTGCAAGATCGTTGCAAACCGGTTGCTGTCGTCGACCGGTCGATCCCGCGACCGGAATTTGAAATTTGTGAGACGAACTGCGCCCATATAACCCCGGCTGCAACATCATCCCGGCTGGCGTGACTGTCGAGTTCAAGGTCGCGCAGTACTGGCGAGGCGACTAAAATTAGTGCGGGCAGGTTATATCGTGTGCTTGGAGGAGCACGAAGCCGCGGCCGAGAGTTCGTTATTTATGTAGCGAGTTGATGAGGGTAACCGCGATGCCTCAGCGAAGAGAACCTCGTGTCTGTCTAGCGATTATCGGGGGAGAGAATGTTGCGACGCAGTATTTTCTTTTTCTTCTTCTTCTTTTCCGCGAAGTAAAATTTACATGGGCTCGATTGGGAAGAGTAGCAATTTTCGTTCCTGTTGCGTAATAGTTGTTTGCCGTTGCACGAAGATGCAACTCCGGTGAAGAATAAATAACTTTCCAAGCTTAATACAGGCTGAGTATATGGAAGAAACGTTATAACTATATACGGCTATATTTTATCCCACCGCCATTGTGAAACACGTGTATTAAAGGAAAAACTTGCGTTCATATTTTCATTATGGTATAAAAGAGTTATTTGCGTGAAGATATTAACAACAGTCGCAGGGATGTGACGTTGTGTATATATATACATTTTTTTTATAATTTTCATAGAGATTATTAATCCGTTGATGATCCTCATTTATCGCTAGACGTAACCGCGAAGAACAATGGATAAAATACGCGATGAATGCGTTTATTTTGTTGCTCGGAAACAACGCACACTCGCGCAGTTCCGTGTATTACATCTATATCTCGCTTCGCCCATCTATCGATTAGCTGCTGCAGCTGTACCTCGAATGCTCTGGAACACGATGAAAGCCCTTAAACTGCGATAGCAGCGTTTATAACGATTTGCTGAGTTTCCTCGTTACAGTTGTTGCAACTATTTCGCGAGATGTCATTCTATGCGAAAAGATATATAACTATTACGGGTGACAGAAAAGTAATAATAAATTCAAATAAATTCTTTCGGTTAATTCGAAAAATATCTTGTACGTGTTTCACAAATGTACATTTATGAATCTTATTAAAGACCCTTGGATCTTATGTGGCTTTATCGCTGTTCACGCAACCGCATAATCAGGATACTAAACCGCGTAAAGATACGACGTACGTCCGTATTACGTAAAGTTATCCATGAGCGATATGCTCTGTAAAAACAAGGAATATAAATCATAATATTCACGGTATATATCATTCGCAAACTGCAAACACGTTAATCAATCATGAACATGTTTGCACCGACGAAGATTAAAGTAAGATATATCGACGGAGAGATCTGTTAAACGATTTATCGTTGCAGCTCGGTCTAAAGTAAATCTTCGTCCCAACAAGTTCGTTTTGTCAGGGTGGTTGAAAAAAGAGACGTCTCGTTGAGAAAGTTCCCACAGATCATCATGCTGCTCCCGTTTAATGCAACAAAGTTGGTAACCGTCTCTATATACGTACCTTCGCATTTCATTACGCCGTTCTGAATGACACCTGAATGTAACGAGGTATCGCACGGTACATTGTGTGTATATTTCTATAAAGTATACAAGTAGTTCCTTCACCCTTCCGTCGAGCTTAATCCGTCGCTCCGTTGTTAGCGGCCTACAAAAAGGCGATCTCTAAAGGGAGAGATAAGTATCTGACGCGCGCGACCCTTATACCCCCTGAATAAAATTGCATTAATTGCGTCTGCTTAAGCAGAGCGGCCTTTGTAGCTGAGATACGCCGGGTCGAGCTAACGAGCGATATGAAAAGGAAATCGATAGAGCGGTATATGATACACCAAAGAGGAACGAACGTAATGTTATGCAACCTGGTTGTGTATCGCCGTTACTATGCATCGCGGATATTTCGCACGTTATAGCCTGATGGTTGTATATCGAGGCCGTTACGGCCTTCGATATATGAATGCAAATTAATTTTTCTTTCCTTTCTTATCTCTACCTCTCTCTCTCGATTCGACGCAGGTGCGTCGAATCTTCGATGTTCACCATCAAACTTTAGGTGGGCGTACAACAGTGGCGTAATATCTGTCTCTTCAATTGTAGCGTGCGCGACAACGTCGCATTAACATGGAAATTACATATTCTCACGCTATCGCAGATCTTACCGAGCAGTGAGTTAACTCGGCTTTCGTGTGTTTGCAAACACATTGCGTCATTTGTAGCTGCCCAACCTCGACCGCGCCTGAAAATCTCTTAAAAATAGCTGTCATTCGCCTCAAGAGCTGATAAAAAAACCTCGCCAACCGGGCAGAAGGTCACTCGGGACTGGCTGCGCAGTACGGAAATTCCGCCGCAAACTCCCCGTCCGAAGAAACTGCGTTTCAACGTTTCGACGTGGCGCGCACACACGCGATTTCGCAATGTTGGATCAACGGCGTATCTCCCTTCATTGGTGTCGTCTCTCTACAAAGCGTTCCTCTTCGCGTACGTCTTCTAATCTGTCCACTAAGAATTCCGACCTCGTTCGTAACGATAGTAAAAGGCCTCCATTTATCTCACGTACCAAAGCGAGTACTAATTCCGTCACGTCCGCGGTGTCTCCTAGTCGAGAACATTTATCAAATTTCTCGGACATAACTAAATTCTTTTCATTGAACAGCACGATCAACAAAAGTCATTTCAGAGGTCACACCTACACGAGACTGGCTAGCACATGTGACTGCGTGATTAGCATGGCTCCAAGATGATCGCTCTCTGATCCGGTTCTCGCTGTTTCCTCCTTCGAAGCGCAAAACAAACGCATACACAGCCGCATGAGATCGGCCAACAGGAAGGTTACGCTACGTTTCACAGGTAGTATTATATCACACACCGGTTAACCATGCTAACGGCGAGGAGGCAGAGAGGCGGTGGCGGCGGTAACGACGGCGACATCGGTGGCGGTGGAGGTGACGGCGGAAGCGGCGGCGGAGGACGGTGTACGTTGTAGGTCGGCGGTATGGAGGGGCCTGGCCGAGCGAACGTGCCAGAAATCCCGTCGCCCGGTGGCCGGGCCGATCAATACTCGGCATTCGCTGATTTCTCGGTCATGACACACAAAAAATGCAAGGATGACGCTGCTGGTCAATGGATCTCGTCGTGGTGATTCCGAATATCATGTCGGCCGACCGGATCGGGCCTCGCTAGGGCCGAAAACAATCGGTTCTACGTAAATGCGCATTAACGTCGCCGCACCACCAGCTCTGGAAGCTTCTGCGCTGCGACGCTGGGCGGCCTCTATATAAGGCGGCCGGCCGGCCAGCCTCGGCGCATTCGTAAACAAACCCTCGTTCAGTTCGGACGCAGCGAACACCCGAAGACCCCCCTCACCCCACCACCAGTGTAATACACTTCGACTTCTTGTTTCGTGGTCGTCAAGACTGCCGGCACGGGAAAATGTAGGCGAGCGGGCACCGGTGCGGAGCGCGACAGTTTACCGTAGGTATCCCCTCTGGGTTTTTATTTATTACTTTACTTTTGTGAACAACTGTTTGCTCCTTGAAATTATTGACTATTAATATCGGTGCTGTTACTGTATTTTGTGGATGAAGATGACGCTCGACCTTCACTGTTATTCGTCATGAGTAGGGCGCATAAGGCTCATGAGGCTTCTTCGCGCCCTAGCCATGAGGATTTAGAGAAGAAGGTTGAGAATAACTTGTTTGCGTTGTAACTATTGGCATAAGACCATCTATGATATAAGACCAGCTGAAAAGTGGTACAGTATCAAAGCACACATGCCATTTTGACATGTCAATCTTTTGTTATCCTCACTTTTCAAGAGACTATTTCTTCATTCTCCTCATAGACATGTAAAGGATTGTTTCTTGACACTAAACTGTGATTTTCTCATATTGAATAATTGCTGCAGGATCATGCAGGATCACTATATGAAATGACAGTATAATATACATATTTACATAATTTGCATTCAATATTAAACAACAAGATATAATTGTATGTATACATACTAGAAAATTGCATTTTTATTAATAAGTATTACAGAAACATTTTACCTGAATATGATAAAGTCACTTTGCTTTACAAAATTGCCTCGATAAAATTATAAATCAGAAAAATAAAAGAATATCGGAATGAGAGTTTCGAACGATAAATTCTTTACTCAGTGGTAGTGATGTTAGTTGTAGTAGTTGTTTCGACGGGAACCGGCTTTGCAGCTGGCATTCCTGTTTGAACAACACTGATGACTCTTTCCGTGTTAATCGGCGTCACGTTCTGAAAACGAACGAAATATTATTAGAGACTATCTGATAAGCGCAAATTATTAGTGTTATGTGTTTATGTTTTTAGTGCACCCTACGGGGTCGGTGCTTGAACAATCCGTACGCGACGATAACAGGCGTGATTAGAATTTGAAATTTCTTCACATTTTGAACACACAAATATGAGAAGAGAACCTCGAGAGATATAGGTAAGCGTAATAAACAGCTTAATAAGCGTAATAAGCGCGTCTAGACAAGATAGTATATTAAGTTAAAAAGGTTACACTTACGTAAATTCATCTATAAAAAGGTTAAAGATACGACGGTGTGTAAATCGGTGCGCGAGACATAATATGAATGACAAACACGGCTTTAATGCCGAGAGTGAAGAATTTTTTTTCCTAGATAATATAGAACTAACTTACTAGGTCAAAGGTAACGCGTGAACAAAAAGTAAATTAATTTGTGATAAGAAATTAGGTGTAACTAAAGTCAATTCAATGTTCAAATGTACTTACAATTTAATTTATTTCGTTGGTGTTAAACAGACGCGTCCGTTAGTCATAAAACGAAAATAATAGAAATAAGAAAAAATGATAAAAATGTGATTTCTGATGAGGAACACTCGATTGTCAGCAAAGTGTCAACGATTTTAAAAAAGACTTTGAAACTCACTAAAAATGCGATTGCTTTTAAATTTGAGGACCAAACCAGTTGAGACATTGCGATGGTAACATCTGCTTTAACGTATATGTCCTCTCTTCATTCTTTTGCAATCACATACATATTATGGTTGAGTTTCAAGAGCTTCATTTAAAATCGACGGACACTGATCGCAACACAAATCGCGAATGTGCCTCGTCTACTGCTGAACTTTGAACGTTAACGATACATATTCTGTTTTGTAGTTTAGTGCAGATTCGTAGTTTGATCTGAAACCGTCGGCACCGTCTGCCCTCTTCTAATACCACACACTGAGGCTCTGACGGCATTGGGAACGTTGGAATTGAAAGGCAAAAAAATCAAACATGTAACGTAAGCCATACCTGCTAACAAAGACGAGAGGGAGAGTGGGAGAGAGAAAGAGAGAGAGAGAGGGGAGGGAGAGAAAGAGGTAGAGAAGCTCTCATTCGTTCGCGGTTACCGCGAATGAGAGAGCAGGGTGGATGTTAATGCGGGTCTCGGCTTTGTGGAGCGTACCTTTTTGGGTGCCGTGATAGTTAGTACACCATCCGAGGAGAGAGTCGAGGTGACGTTGACGAGGTCGTGAGATGAGGGCAGGACGTATCTGCGTACGAAGTGTCTGCTGACGTAGCCGTGCTCGTCTTGCTTCTCCTCGTGCTTGGCCTCGACAATAACTTGGTTGTCGACCGTCTTCACCGTGATCTCGTCCGGTGAGAATTGTTGCACGTCCAGTATCACCTGCGGATCAGAGCGCGGCCCCGGGAATACACGTATTAGCTTGTTCAGGATCCTCTTTCCAAGAACGTCGTCGAGGACGAAAATTTTCCGTTCTCTTCGTCAAGGGAGCATGGATTAACGCAGCGAAGCATATGCACACAGAGACATCTACCATCGTCTGACCATGCGCCCGTAGAGCAAAAGTTAAGTATCGATCGTTCCAGAGCGAGCTTGCTTCCCGAGGACAATGATTGTCGAAATCGAACAATAACGTTTTACTTTCTCTCGCCTCGCGCATTAGCGTTTTGCGTTTCTTTTCCTTGATCTTATAACCGGCTAACTAAATTCTCCTCTGGAAGAGGATCTCGAACGTGGTTCGTAGCGGGTATATACTGTACTGATACGCAGAAAGCTACTTTACGCACAATCATTTCGGCTGACCACTTGGAGCGCTTCGCGCGCCCGGTTTACACTCGTTCTTCCAAGTTTGCGCGTTAGGGAACCGCCGGGACCGGTTCCGATCAAACCACGGTTGTTGGAGTTTCCACGGCGAAGAGGAACATGACAATTCGGCTAACATTATAGATCCGTCGGATCGTTAACGCGTCGGAAAAGACGTTCTCCCTCCGTCACGATCTCTTTTTTCATGTAATCTCCCGCCCGCGTCTCTTAGATTTTCACGTTATGGTACAAAAGCAAACCGGGAAGATGTAGTTTCCAGGCCCACCTGCTTGTGTGAGACTGTTCCATTTTTTTGACGACCAAAAAAAACGAGCATGCATACAAGTGGGTGACTTTTTTTTATTCGCGCAAGGTCGTGGCGGAAGCGATCGGTCGCGCGATTGCTGTGGCCGATCACTTTTTCGCGGCCGGCCGCTCACTTTTTAGCGAGTTCAAGAGAAATTACAAACAAATCTGCAGAAATCAAAAATAATTTGACAAAAATAAAACGTGCGATAAAAATAGGAAATGGTCTTTACTTTCACTTTCGTGTAGAGCAAGGAAACTTCAACGACCGACGGTAGGATACGGCAAGCCGAGTCTCTCCGCTGACTCTGGAGCTCGGTGAGCGCGAGAAAAAATAACGGAGGATGATTGGCTGTGCATTTTGAAAATAGTGTGTCAGGCGAAGATTAGAGAAGCTAAAAAGAAAACAGAGAAGAAAAAGTTACGGAGGATCGGTCCGTCGACTCGAGTGCTGCGCGCAGAGCGACATATTTTGTACATATAAAGAGAGAAAAAGAGATTTCCGTGTAAAGGACAAAAAGAGTCACATTTTGTACGATTCTCTTGTTGAGGGTTTCAAAAGCATTTATTTTTGTATAGAGATTATAGCCGGCAGGACCGGGGCCTGCGGCCCGTTTGCGTGAGCGGCGCCCCCTTCGAGAGGGGGGCGCGCTGACGGCTGCTCGTCTCGGTTCTTTTATCGAACAAGACTGATTAAGCGCGCGACACGGTAGTATATACACATCCACTCTTTCGGTTGAATATTTTATTCCGTGGCTGCTGCGCGCGATTTCTCGCGTGCGACTCTGAACGGAGATTGTAGTACAGCGGAACAGAAAGTCACTTTAGATCTTGCGGCAGTCGAACCGTACTCATGATCGCGTGAGGAAAAAAATATCACGAAAAAGAGAGGAACGAAAATAACAAAAAAAAAATAAGAGCACATAAAAGCATTAAACGAAAATACAAAAAAAGAGATTGAAGAAGGTGAGGTAAAACGAGAACTGTGGTAAAACTGTGATTTCATAGAGATTCCGAAGAAAAATAGCGTGACTGACCGGGGATCGCACAGCGCGATTGTCCTCTTTTTTGATACGCGTACCTTTCGTAGAACATTTCGGCAAACGAGAAGGATAACGGCGTCATTCTAAGAAAATTAAGAAAAGAAACGCTAAAGAAACGAAAAACGAATACAAAAAGATAGCTCACATCCGGAAAAAGGAAAAGTCGTCTCTCCGATCCAGTTCATCCGCGCGCCCTCCCTCCCTCGTCGAGAGAGGGCGTACGAAACACTTCACTCCTGAGTCGAGCGAAAATAGTCCCGAGAACACACTCGTTTCACCACCACCATCCACCTATCCGTTGAAAAGAGAAAGGGCTGCCGCTCTGGTCGTCCTCGCGTCCGCGTGCGCGTTCATATGGTTATAGGGACGCGATTATGCGACGTGTGATGAGCGACCCATACATTAACGGTAGGAGACAGTCAGCTGCATCAGATGCAGCCATCGGTTTCCGGGCCTTCAGGTGTTCCGAATTTTTCGTTCGCCTCTTTAGCCAACCCCCTTTATTTATAAACTAGCGTTCTCCGACTCTTCGTTTTGGATTTCCTCCGCTTTTTGTTTCTATTCTGTTTCTTGGGTTTTTTTTTCTCTAATCTTGTTTGCGATGATTTAAATAACCAATCAGCTAATTCTCCCCATTACTAATATTCGTTCCCATTGTAAAGTAGGAGCCTTCGCATTTACGACGTAATCTTCTTTTTTTCCTCTTTCGATCTTTCCCTTAACCCTTTCTCTCCGCCTCACGTCCCTCTTCCCGTGGCCCTCCTTCTTTATTATCCTTCTTACGAATGCGCCCTTCCGTCGTTCCCCCGTCATCCCCGTCACTTTCCCGTCACTTATTTCCCACGACTTTTCTAGATTTCGAAATCTAACTACGATTCGCCGCTACTCGTTTTTCGGTAGAAGATAACGAAAAAAAAAGAAGTATCTATACACTTATTGTATATCGTACATTTTTCGTAGGATATTGCCCGAGGCTTTTTGTATTCGATACAAAATTCGTTTTGTGTCCGATATAAATCGCGCTCGAACTGTAAACACCAAAAAGAGCAAAAGACCACTAAAGAGATCGTCAGTTTAAGTCGTGTCTCAGTCTAAGTTGCATCACGTGTAACCGATCACATTCTGCTCGCTGTCGCATCATAGAATTTTCCTGGCAAAAGATAAAGGCAAACGAATCGGCGATCTTAAAGTCATGAATTTTGGGCCGTCAGGAGAACAAATCCTCACTTTAAACAACGTGACAGTGCGCATTCATGAATTTAGGAGCGTTTAGGCGAGTTGTTTGTGTCCTACGTAAAAAGTAATCACATTCAAAGAAATCGTCGCTTTAGGCTGTGATTAAGTTTTGCCACACGTAATCACTTGCATCTCGACCGCTCTGTTGTTTCATCGAACTTCCACATGAAAAAGGGACAAATGTAACGGTTAATAACGGGCCGAACATCAAGTTTATGCGAATTCATGATTTTAGGTGTATCACGGTAGATGAAAACGTGTACTCGTAGTGTGTGTATATTTACATGAATCTGGTATTTTAGGTGTTATTTGCGATATATTTAATGTGAATTAACGATATATTACTGTCGAGTTACTAAGTTACTATAGGATCCGTAGTGTGGATAGCTGTGAACGATCTAAGGATTGAGAAACATACCCAGGCGTTTTATCCAGTTCAAGCGAACATAATATCGACGAAATATATAATACAGTAAATTCGTGAATAAATCCTTATATCCTCGCGGAACCTTTTGAGGTCGGGGGAGTGCCTTTTATAAATTGATTCGAACGATCTAATTCTTTCGCGACACTTCCAAGCGCGCCAGCAACCTATTCGATTGATTCTCTTTTGAACTTTGGACTTAATCTACCGTATTGTGGGTGTTTTAGAGAATAACTGCAACGTAAGATAATTGGCATACATATATATAAATATATATATCTATATATATCCGCAGCGCGTGTCATATTTTAAGGCATCTAATTCCGCAAATCGATTCTCGTTCAACTGTTTAAACTTGTCTAGATCTTGTCGTACGTAGATCAAACGTAATCCGCATTTCTAAACGAACGGTCACGTTAGAACCGCCACGGCTGTCGCGTAACTTTCGCAAAGCTCTGTCTGCATAGCTTGCAGGCTGCAAGTCGCAGACGTAGGATACGCAAAACGTACTCGTAGTTCGCAAATCACGTTGAGTGTCTACATTGAACGCAAAATTGATACACACATGTATAAAAAGTTATATTTGAGGCTATCAACCCTTTCAAAATTATTTTTCATTGTGATATGCTAACGTAATTAATTGGCGTGTTCTTTCAGAGATAATACACTTGCACTCGTATTTATCAATGTAACAGGCAAACTTACTAATCAAAACAAAATAGGCTCACTTTGATTTGGTTATAAAACAATAATCTCACACTCTCTCCGAAGTTTTCTCCTCTATAGTTGGTTAACGCAAATAAGACGTAGCCGCAGAAGCAACGCATTCGCCAAAATTTCGAGTCGAATCAATTTGTCGCGTGAAGCGCGAGTGCGACTACATGTGCCTTGCGTGAGTTGATATATCATCTTGTGTCTGTATTTGCGATCTGCGTTTTGCGTTCTACGAGTAGACGGGGCTGAATCCGGGAAAGTTACGGGACGGCCGTAGGCGGTTCAAAGGTGCCGCTTCACATTGAAAAAATACAAATACGCTGACAAATACGCATTACTACAGATAACGTTAAAAACACATCGTATGAATCAGCCGGACATTCCGTGATAAATTTAACGCGCGTTGCTTCTTATATCCGCGCTCACTACTTTCTATACTCTTGAAATCGAACCGAGCATACGCTTGATCAGAAAAATATCTCAAATATTTTCCCGTCTGGTGCATCTTGGGATTTTACACGTAAACCTCAGAGAATTCTCGGTATTCGACACATAGGCATTACACACATTAAAGAACTATTTCAAAATTTGTTGTGAAAATCTGTGAGAAGAAAGGCTAGTTACGAAAATTGGATAAAGCAATTTAGAATAACGGTATTCTCGGGACGAAATTAAAAAGGTGAGATTCGAATTGCAAACACATCGGGAAGTAATTACAGTTGTATTTTCGGCTTACGTTATTGTCATTGTTGAGTTATTGTCACGCGTAAGAGAAAAACACTAAATCCTCGGAGTTTTATTAGTTGTAAATAATTTCCGGCCAATTCTCCTCTTCCGCAGTATTCTGCTAGCATTCTTCCGCTGCAGAATCCTGCGGAAGACGGAATTGGACCGATGAAGCAGTACTTCCGCCCTGTAATATATCTTTAAGTAAGCTTTCAACATTTTCCTGAAAGAGCAAACTTAGCGACTTTAGAAGAACTGATCAAAGCCGAGACTTGAATATACAGGACAAAACACACGTGACATAGTTGGCAAATTACGTTGATTTTAGCAAAAATATGTTACTTCGTGTTTGATAAGCTTCTCGAAATCGAAAGACCTGAGCACAAATAGAGGAAGGACACCAATACCGACATAGTATTTTGTTTTTGGACTCTATCTCTTAACTGGAAAAACTCCAAAACATAAACCTATATATGTAATGCGACTCCTCTCATATACATATATATATATTATATATGAATAGCTTTCATGTAAAGTAAGCGGAAAGTGTTTAAGAAGGCGTGAGAGTTGGAGTCCAAAATTGACATATCTATTGAAAAGACATGACAAAAATATAAAAATATACTATAATCAATCATTAATTTGTGCAAAAATTTAAAAACAGTTTCAAATAAAACTGAACTTTCTCTTCTATTTCTGGTTTATTATTTATAAAGGATTTAAAAGCGAGAGTATACAATAATACGGTACGTCAGTTTGAAATGCATCCAGACTAAATATGCCAAACCGCACAGAAGAAATAGGAGAAGCAATAAAAGATAAGAAGAAAATAATTTTATAATGCAAACATGTGCAAAATAACTTTTGATATTATTTTTGAGAAATAGAGATATGTCGCTTTGGGAGACCTATGTCAGCATAGGTGCCTTTCCTCTAATCTAAACATGAGAAACAGTCATGATTGTAGAAACAGCATAACAATGACAGTACACAAAGAACCGAAAGAAGCAAAATCTCCATTACAATGCAAATCTTATCATTTGAGGGTATCTTTCGTGTTTCATCACGAATAAAAAACGAAGCAAATCGTTTAGTGACTGTTCTAAAAAAATCACATCAGTGACGTCACGTAATATGGATGGAGCATGATCACGAAATAGGATGCGTTTTATGAGCTAAAAAAGCTCATTTATGCTATCGCATTTTTTCGCAGTATTTGTGTTATCGCATTTTCTCGATGCAATAAACCGAAAAAAATCTCTAATAATACTTATGCAAACGAAACAAGTAATAAGCATGAAAGCAGACTGAAACATTATGTTTGTTCTTTTTAGATAAACTGCTTGAACTGATGCACTTGTACGAGTGTGCACCAATTCAATTAGTTTAGCTGAAAAGAACAAACCTTTTTTTGACTATAAGTCAAAATATCGTAGGAAGAAAACAGTTTTTTCGACACTTTCCAGAATAAAACCGGATATTGAAATGCGCGAAAACAAAATTCACGATTCAGATGTCGTTTAGCAAAATGCTTGGATACAAATTACTAAAAATTTCAGTAAAATGAAATCACTTCCAAAAGCAAAATCAAGCAAAGAGAAAATGTCTAACTCTGTATTAAAATATTTCAATCACAGATATCTATATTGAATAAACTGAACCAAAAATAGGCCTCTCTAGAAAACGTTTTGCTATTCCGCAAAGACAAAATAAAGAATAAAGGTAGACCAAAAATTACATTCTGCTCAGAAAATCCATTCCGTAAAGATGGAATAATAAAGAAATCCAAATAAAAAATGTTTTCGCTCACAAGACAATTGCTTTAGATCTAATTCGAGGTCATAAAGATTAACAGAAAGCAACGAAGAGTAGCATCCAAATGTCGATTTTCAATCTATCAAATTGCACAACGGTCCGTTTCGATCATTGAACGCGAAATTGAACTGCGGATACCAACCTGGAAATTATCTTTCTCCAGTTGGATCGTACTAGATCCACTAGAATTTTGATGAGTCACATTTCTCCATGGTCGGTAGTACGTGTTCCCGAAAACCGAACGAAGGGAGGGTCGATTGAGACCGAGGCCGGTGAAACCGGATATCAAGTCGTCACGACGGAGGCCGGTGCCGAAGTGCTGATCCATCAGCCGCGACATAGGACGATCGAAGTCCTCCCACCAATCGCGAAAAACGAGCGGCACGATCGACATCTGCGAATAAAAGCGCGGTATCACTACAATGTTTGACATTTTTTCCCAGTTAAAGAAGGTTCTAGCGCCATTCCTTACTTAACCAATGAGTATTTTGTTAATAATATGGCTAAAAAATAATTTCGCGACAATATTAATGAACTAAAATTTATAAATATTATTATACGTAATCGCGCGTTTTTAGTTTATAAAATATCTTGAAAGTGACAAAAATTATAGAAGACTCCTATTTGATATAAATACTAATAATAAGAAAAGAAATACGTATATAAAATTTACTTGATATTGTATTTGATAAATTAGAATTTAATTTCATATAAATTGAAAATTAATAAATTAACGCTTTTAGTTGTTAATTTATTATAGTTTTAATTAATATACGTCGGGAATATTTCGCTCTACTGGTTGTATTAAATTTGGCAACAGGGAAATATGATAGCATGTTGAGAGCACTATCTATATCAATATGTTAGAGTCTAAGCTGTCATAACCTTTTCCGACACAGCTGCAAGTTAATGCATTGATTGACGTGAATGTTAGTGCAACAGACATCACTAACACTTGTATTAATCATTGTGTATTGATCTACGTCTCTGACATATGTTTGCGATTCTGTCGGAAATGATTACAACAATTTTTGTGCGCAAGTTCTAACAATATAAACATACGTATAAGCTAAATTAGCTTATATAAGGTGTATGATTCAATTAGTGACACAATTCCAATTTGTGACAATTACATTCGGCTTTTTAATAAATCAGTTTAATGCGGGCCTATATTTATCCTAAAAACTTATGCTTTTATTCTAAATTTTATGCACTATCAGTTATGACAAATTTCGAATCAAATTGAGGGTCATAGTAATTATTGGGACATTAATTTTAAAAGGGTACTGCTGACGGCGATAGTTCAAACTCGCCGACATCTTAAAATTTGACAATTAATATCATTTGGTTAGATCTGTGTAATTCTTCAACTTTAAATTTAAACGATTGAAATTGTTGTGTTAAAGTTGAGAGAAGGTTAAGGAATGTTTTATAAATAGAGAAAGTAACAAGATATGTAATTTTTGCAGTTAATTCATATATATCACTTATCAGTACTAGGATATTTATTTGTTCCCGCACTCTCTCTAATCTGAATAAAACATAATATACATAAAATAATATAAACGTTCCTATTTTTCTATTTTTATATTTCTGAAAAGAACACGTAGTTTGTAAATCTTATTCATTAAGAGTTAAGAAATAGCATTAATATTGTTACATTCGTGCCCCGATGTCTAGTCGAAGCATCGTGGTATGTGCTCGGTGAAGTCACGTTCAACCGTGTTCGTGTTCGCAATTGTGTAAAGCTGAATATACCGAACGAACAAACAACGAACGTATAATACATTTGCGTCCATTTTGCGCACAAATTTCCTTTAATAGGCCGCGTCATGAGCGAATCAATCCGAATGCGAACAAAACATTCTGTTTGAATAAGCATACACGTCTTTTTAATCACAAAACAAAAGTTTGCATTCGTAGTTCGTTCGTTATTTGTTCGCTCAGTGTCTACTCAGCTTTAAATTTGAGTAAAGCAGAATAAAAAACAAGTTGTATAAATATTCAATTAAACATTCTTCGTTATTTTGTAAACGTGTTCATTTTTCACGCAGAGTCAGATGCGAACGCGAGTGAGCGTAACGATATGACAACTTATCCCTCTGGAATTTATTCAATAGTACAAATATAGCTTATAAATTACCATGTTTAAGTCAATACCCGAGTCGAAATTTTGGCCCTATGTTATGAATCTTCAATTCTACGTAATAAAAGTTCAAATATCATGACAGGTTTAATTCTGATGATACAAATTATTCCTACTTTGACTCTGATGATGTTCGAAATTTCCCTTTTCGCTATAGCCATAGCTAGAGCTATAGTTTTTATCTTTTTTTACTATAGCTACAGCTTATACTATATCGTTAAAGTAGGTGTTGAATGGAATAGTGAGTCTGAAAGTAAGATCAAAATTAATAGGCTACCTAGTAAACGGAGAACATTAAATCAACATCTTGAAATATACATCTTTCACGTATTTGTTGAACATTTTCGAACATTGTCGAAGTTGATGCAACGTTAAAAGCTACATATTAGAAAATGTTACATGTTACTAAATATCGTTGCAAATGACATTCTATTAATGATTTTTTGTTTACTGGGTAGTGATATATTCATGTTTCTATACGATTTAAATATTCGATGATAATTGAATCGAGTGATATTTGAATGATAATCACCTGTTATTTTTTTATGAACAAATTTATATATATTTCTTTATTTTTGCGATGAAAGAAGTTATTTGGTCACTGATTGGGACATTTACCTTAACTTTGCACGTAATGATTATAGTGCTCTCTGTAAATGTGTATTCTATATTTATCAAAAAATGGAATTTTTGGGGAAAGGGAGGGCGGGGAAGAATTGGAAATTGTGGAATTCCGCATTTGTGATCGCAAAATACAAAGTTTATAATTAATTATCTTGGGAATAACACGTTAAAGGCCCCATTGAAATTATGCATTGTTAGATCGATTTTTATATTATATACATACATTATATTATATACATATTATAGATTTAGCTGTTGTTTGATTGAATTACACGCTAGAACCTTCTTAATATAAAAAGAAAAAAAAATTAAAAAAAAAATATCTCATCAAAGGTATGTAGAAGTTAGGATAAAGTATAAACGTCCTGGGCGAGAAATAGGCATGCATGAGCGACAATTTGGGAAACATAAGACGTAATATAAAACTAGGATATAAACGTTAATTTTAAGTCATAAGTTAATTTGCACCAAGGCGGTTAACTCGTTAGTTCATGTGTACAATTGATCAAAGTCTCTTCATCGTAATTAATTAATCCGTCAGAGATTTATTCTATTAATATTTCAATATTATTAATATACATGCATCATGCATACGCATCATGCTTACATGACACGAAGCACGTTAAATGAGTAGTCATCCGATGACACGAAAGATTCGTCTATTCCGGAATGGATGAGAATTTAGTAGGTCATTGGCTAGATACCTTCCATATTTACTGACTTATAAAAGACACAATAAGAAATTTACCCGTTTAACACGCATTTCCAGCGAGCGTATGTGCCATTGACTAATCATTAGATTCGCGAGCATCATTCAGTGATAGTTTTAGGGAAGCATAAGAACGCGTCTGTTGACAGGCGACTATGCACTTGTCATTTACATCAGCAAGAACTTTTCCCTTTATTGAACACGTTACACGTGCGAAATATCACGAATGAATGCCTTCCACTTCGATCCTTTTCTTCGATTCGCGACGGAACGAATTTAAAAAGGCATTATCTGGGTAAACGTGATTATTTAATAAACAGGACCTTTGTCCGATTTTACTGATTCCGTACGAAGCGAAGCAGCACAAAGGGATCGATCGAAGAGATCGATCGAAGGGATCGATAGAGATAGCGTTAGAGATCATTTTCTTCATTCACATGGCGAATACTAACAGCGGAAAATGAACATAATAACGCATAATTATAGTCGTAAGCTAAAAAATAGCGAGAGCTCGATCGATATCTCAGAGATCATAAAAATTGTCCGTACACGTTTACGTAGAGAATTAAGCGAAAATTCAATCTCTCGGGTTAACGTATTCAATGGCGGAATAAGTATAGACCAATCAAGCAAAACGGCACAACGATGGAGATCAGATATCGATATGATACTAGTTTAAAGTCATACGCGACCCCCCACTGCTACGTATTATGTCATACACATAAAGTGCGCGGTTTGCGACGTTATTGAAAATAGGACTTATGGTGAAATTACACATTACACGTCACTCAACTCGTGGTAAAATTCCTTTTCATAGTTTCTCCCTTACGACTATGATAGATGCGCAGTCTTGACAACAATCATTTACAGAGGTAGCTGGGTGGGGGGAGATTTTTGAGGGCGAGGACATAAGGACCGTTAGTTTAAGATTATGTCGCACAAAGAAACGTACCTATAAGCTCACTCTACTCTACAACAACCATAAAGAAATATGAACGTAAATTAAGTAATCCTAAAACTAATCGTAAATTAAAATAAATGAAGCGGATAATAGCAGATAATAGCGGTCATAATATATAGGGTTTATTGGGGGTGGAGGACACGGCAGGTTAACAAAAGAAATCTTACTTTGTATTACTTGGAAACGCGCATACACCAACACATAACATATGCGCACGCACACATACACATACATATACTCGCGAAAAAATATCGAACAGTGCTACCGTACTTTTTCACGTGGAGCGTAAGAACTCGTCGTCGCTCGTAGGTCACCGGATGATTCCAAAGTCGACTCGACTTCTGACTTGGCGCGAGCCGTCGGTCCATCTTAAATAGCCGACGTCGTCGTCATATTCCTGAATGTCCGCGAAGGCGTCCCGACGCCGCAGTATGGAGGCGTGCTCCTACAATGTCACGTGACGTTCACTGACTTCTTGCCCAAAAATATACCGACTTGCACACGAACGCGATTTTAGCTATCGAAATTGACTTGGCTGTATTCGCGGTAGAGGATATCACGAATTATATCCTGCATTTCGATCTGCACCATTCTTACCGAATCAAAGCATTAAGATGTCGCATTCACCGAACGAAACATCAACGAAGCGTATTATCCTGAAGCGTTTCGCTCATGACCGAACATGGCTGGAACTAACTTAAGAACCGAATCTAATAATAATCTAATAACTAGCTTATAATAAATAAGAATCTAGCCTAACATAATAATCTAACCGTAAACAACTCAAAAAAACACATATAATTTGTTGAGGTAAAAGTATATCATTATCAGTCAGTCGCGACGATCTGCCTTTGGCAGGCACTTGGCTTGTTCACAAGCACTATCACAAACGCATGACATATTCCGATTATATTGTTAATAAAAATCCACGCATGGATGAAACTTTCGATCTCTTCAAGAAATATATCGCTGACTCGAGTTACCGAAAATTTCAGAACACGGTGTGCTGAGAGCGTCTTAATGCGGGGTTCACCCACGCGCGTTATTTTAGGATATCGGATTATACGCGTTTCTCTCTTAAAATCCCGTCTACATAGCTCGTAAGTCGCAAGCCGCAGACGTGAAAAATACGTAAAACTGTGTATTCGTAGTTCGCAAATCACGTCGCAAGATGAGTGTCTACATTGAACGTAAAAGTGGCACACGCGCATATAAGAGATCATATTTGTACCTATCGATCTCTTCGAAATTTTCATTGTGGAGATACCGACATAATTAATTGGCGTGTTCTTTCAGAGGTCCAATATATACATGCGCTCATATTTATCAATGTAACAGGCAAACTTACTAACCACAAAATAGACTCGGTTTGTTCTGGTTACAAGGACAATAACCTCACACTCTTTTCGAAGTCTTTTCTTCTGTATTTTGGTTAATGCAAGTAAGACATAGTCGCAAAAGCAACGCATTCACAGAAAGTGAATCAATTCGAGTTGAATCAATTTGTCACGTGATACGCGAGTGCGACTACATGTACTTTGCGTGAATTGATACTTGTCATCTTGTATCTGCGTTTACGATCTGCGCTTTGCGTTCTACAAACTATGTAGACGAGGTTTAAGATACGTTTCTTTCGTTTCGCTTCTTTTTCGTTTAACACATACATACACGAAAACACACATACGCACATACATATATATACACGAAAAAAGTTAACGCTGGTGTTGATTAGGCGCGATAATTAACGACGTTTTACATGGTGTATCTGATAAAGCCGTCACATAGCATTTTTGAACTTTTTAGATTCTATCATTTTCATTGATATTTGCGCGCGAGTACAATTTGCCTGCGCTCTTCCAGGCGCTGTTCTATGTTGCAAAATATATAATCAATTTCGCATGTGCATCACGCATCGTGTGATTTAAATCTGTTAACAGTGAACAACAATCAATAGACGACAACAACAATCAAAGAAATGGCGAATTAACTAAATGGTATGCAATCCTATATGCTATATCTCTATAGATAGAAGGACATACATTATCCCGAAAAATCAAAATTTCGAAATTCGGAAACTAGGGCAATTTCCTAAAAAGTTATAATAACGAAATATCTGAATATCTCGAAGAAATCCCGAATATCTGAATATCCCGAAATACAATCTTCTCAAATTATGGGAAATATATATATTGTGTGTGTGTGTATACGCGCGTATATGTGTGTACCCATACTTATTAGATCTTTTTCATTTTCTATATTCGGGATATTATCTTCGCATTTCGATATTATGACTTTTCGAGACATTGTCCCATCTTTTAAGTTTCGGTACATTTTTTTTCAAGACGATGCTTGTCCTTCTATGAAAATAGTCGATAATGAGAAGCATGTTAACCAGATAAAAAATAAAAATTGCAAAAAATGACGTGCACGTCACCTAAAAAAAAAGAAAAAAAGAAAAGAAGACGAAAAGGAAGAAACTTAGGATGTACGTATTATCAATATATACTAATTAAGGATAACTATTAAGGATATGATAAAAATTAAGGAAAGGTATTGCACACTAGGCTACTGGCATTACTTCGCGAATTCTATCGACTGGCAGCAAGTGCTAATGAAACAATCTCAAATACGAAATAGATCTTGATTCACGTTTCGTCTAAAAATACGCTACTGGTCACCAACAATGAATAATTCGTACAGAGCACTCGCGTCTCCGTAAAGTGAGTAAATCTTTAGTTATTGGGTCGGTCAGAGAAAATATGATTCAAATTCTTCTTTCAATAAATAACGTTAAATACACGTAATGCAAGTAATAATGCTAATAAAGTCTGGTGTGTATTATATACTGTTGTAAAAAATAAAACCTTCACGACGATCACCCGGTTGATGAATAATCCGTTTTCATTGAATGCAAAAGTGAACTCAAATTTACCTCAAAAATCAAATTAATTTTTTAAATTAACTTAATAAACGAAAACTTCTCGCAATATTACGACAACCTGGCATAGATAACCGTTATTAAAATATAACCGATTAATTTGAAATCGAAAAGTCTCAGATTTAAAAGCAAATGTTTATCGATATCCAAATGCGAAATTTTCTAGCCGAAAGCGAAGGAAAATTATTTATTCGCGATTAGGCAGAAGCACTTAAAAATAAAACAATAAATTCACACATTCGTCAGAGCACTTGTGGCAGGTATATCGAAAACGCGAGTAATTTAATTTTAAGCATTAAGCATTAATTCCTAGACCATCGAACGAATCATATTATGTGGCATTATAATAGTAACAATAAGCTCATAATTAAGTTACCCCTATCCAATCGCTATTGGCTCAATCGGCCAATAACAATAATTGGTCGAGTATAATAACATTAATCCTTAATCCTCGTCGGACAGTGTCTGAATCGGAGCTGATCTGTAATCCGTGCAGTTGCTGGAACCGTTATTAATTAAACGAGGGTTAAGACTATAATCGAAAATATTACGTGTGAAATGTTCTATGTGTTTACTACGGCACTGGCATTTACGTGTTCGGGTGCACGCCGTGTGTCAAGCTGCGGATAAATTTTAAAAGTAACTCGATTATAATGGTTTTTTCGTCTAGAAATAAGAATTAAATGTGTCGTTACTGAAGAATTAAATGTGTTGATACTGGATAAAACGGCCATGATTAATCGTGTGTATGTAGAGAGAATTATGATGTGAAACTTGTACGATGTGTGTGTGTGTGCACACACATCAGCAGCATTCGTAAAAATCTTTACAATGAATGTGACTTAGTAACCATCCGTTAAGGGGATGCCACACTTGAAAACTTCACTAATCTTTTTCTGCAAAGTTTACGTCGTATTGGTTACGCAGAATTACAAATGCTTTTACACAGTAAAAGTACGTGCTAAAATTAACTGGTGTACGTGCTAAAATTAACTGGTGTATTAACTCAATATGAGAAAATGATGAAAAATTATAAAATTGACGTCTCGAGTTGTCAGTTAACTGTTTGTCAGTAAATATTTGTCTTATGCAAAAGTTGTGAAGATTGCACATGCCAAACGTATATTTGCTCCGCTCAGAAAAATTTCAAAGAACATTGTTGTACATTTGCAATCAAATTTAGAAACGTCTAAATATACGGAAAGTTTGCAGAAAAATATTTATATATGTACGTGTTTATGATTCCTGCTGAATAAGATAAAACAAAGCAGCACACGTGTATACAAAACCTATATGTACAAGAACGACAAAAAAGAGTAGCGTGATCATGTTAATACTTATCTGACATGACGTTTAAATGATTGTCCATACGTTGTCGACATTTTTGGAGCTCGTCGTCCACTTTGGCATCCTCTTAACGTGATACTTGTAACTCGATGGATCATTGATGTTATACCGATCTTTTGGTTTATAACAGCATAAACATAATTATCGTCTTTAGATGCAACAGATGCAACTTGTGTCAGGGCAGTCCTTAGGTTGAGAGAGCGAGTGCGTACTTCATGTATCAGCGTAAAAAGAAGCAAAAAGGACTTTGTATTTCGTATGATCGTATCTATATACGCTTCGTTTGATCGAAATTACACGAAATTCCATCTGGATACGGCTTATATTTACTTATACTTACTTATACTTACTCGGTTCTATTTAATTTTGTATTCATGCAGCGCATAGAAATAGGCCCGATGCCATTTCTTGGCTAAGAGAAACAATAAAGTGGAATTCTACGTATATATATATATAAATATATGTATATATATATATATATATATATATATATATACATATATATTAATATAAGTCTTCTTTTCGATTTAATGTTATACCAATCCTCCCGTATATAAGTAGTCCATTGTCATAGAAGCTCGACATCAAAATTGAACGAAATTGAGTTCTGGCTAAAGGAGATTAGAGATCAAGTCGATATCTTTTGATGATTTTCATTTATTCAATAGCTGCTCTCAGATGTACAAATTAAATTAACTAACACGCATCGAAGCCGCAGCGAATATTTCGTTCGCAATAACGTAGTGGCGAAAGCTGCAAAGATATTTCTGACTTTATGCTATATGTGTCTTGCTGATGTGCGTCACGTACTTAAAGTAGCAACATGATGAGAGTCATTCAGAGAAAATGAAGATATATTTATAAATAAAAATAATATATAATATATCCTAATATATAATGAAGCAGCAAGTTACATATATGTGTGTGTGTGTGTGTGTGTGTGTGTGTGTGTATTTGTGTGCATATTTATGTTTTTCTTCAGAAACTATTCAAAAGCACATGACGTCGCTATTCTATATTTAAATACACGAATACTATACATATGCCTCTTTGCGATAACCGCAACATTGTGTATAAATGCACAATGAGGCGTAAGATAAAATGGCACGCTTCCATTTCACCGTGGTAATCGCGGTATTTGCAGGTCGGGATGTTGTTGTATCTTTTCGACGTCCTGTAAAGTGGATATACCCTGTTCCTGTGAGACATACAAATCATGAGATTGCATATTAGTAAACGAACATAAGATTAAAATTAATATTAAAATTAAAAATATTCAAGTATTCTCGACATTCGTTTTTTCATCTCAGATCACATTACAATATTGTCATGGAATTATAAAAGAAAACAGTGTTAAAATAATAATCACAGTAAAAATTACAGAGAAAATGGATATCACATAAATAAAATTATCTCGAGATACTTATACATTAAATTAAAATCAGTGTCTTACATTATATTCTTTCCATTTCTCATAGTTTTGCCGCATATAGCCCACCATCTCCGGCATATCGATAAACGCTGCGGAATAGAACAAAAAGATAATAATTTGGATATATTTTCGCGAGCAAACTAAGCTCGTCAAATAACGAAAAGAACATACCATCCCAAGCCTCGACCATGTCGTTGATAATGAAGTCGACGAAACCAATTTGCGATTTCGGTATCGAACACGTCTGTCTGTCGAACATCGGCATTACGACCGGCATCTTCAGCTTTTTCTCCTCGTCAGTCTGAAAATTATCAACGAACGTATTCATATACAAGTACATATATAAACGTCAAGACAATTAATCACTCTTTTTCCCAGAATGAATGATGCTTTTCTTGGAGAGAGAGAGTAGAATATTTACCTGACAGAAATACTCCTCGGCAATCCGTCTCGCCCATTCTACGCAACTCTTCAGCGGTCGCGTCGGATTCGATACGTCTGCGCATTTGATCATCATTCTTTTAATCAATATTACGTTATCCGGTTGCAATATCACAGACATGTCCAGAGAATTCGAATAGGACTGCGAAAAATTATTTTGAATTTATTTTCCACCGACACTTTAGTGATAGTGTTTCTATATCTCAGACTTTTCATACATTATCGGCTAAGAAGGTGACTGAGGGAGTCTAGCAATTCAATACGAGGATATGTCTGATAGAAATTTACGGCAATTGATTTATATGGTGACATATATATGGAACGCGAATATATCTTTATCGATGAGTAGAAACAATACATTACCTCAATCTGACCGTCACCGATTCTCGCGCTACAAACATTCATGAACTTCGCCAGGTGCTCAAAGTGCTTCGTCATTTCGGTCGCCAGAATCATGTCAATGACATTTTGCCGCAACAGCTTGTATGTGTCTCGGTCCAGATTCTAAAGCAGACGTTTAATGCCGTTTTACACTATTGGATTACTCTATATCGATCTTGCGATATAGAGCGCTTAAGAAGAAACTTACTTTAAAAATGTTCACGTTATCATCGGATAACGATAATTTGAACGTTAAGGCTGCGTGATGCGACTCGAGCACCGACAAATCGTTGTAGAGTATCGCCAAATGATTGTTAGCGTTACAGAGGAACTGGCTACAAGAAAATTTAATTTTATATCTGACTCTCGGTATTCATTCTCAATTTATGCTTCAAGATTTGTAATAAATGATGATGAAGCGATTAAATTTTTGCTAAAGAGACGTCGTTTCTAAACAAGGCGGGAAGTAGAACTCTGATGAAGAAAATGTATAATTATCGAAATATTTGATTAATATTATATGAATGCGCGATATAAACATATATTTCTCGGGAAATTAAATGTTTGCCAGTGCATTTTGCCTTATCTGAAAAGTGACTTGTGTCACCTGGATCGTCCGGGATGATCAATATCGTGAGCAGCTGCGGCGATTATAGCGGCAACTTCATCTAAGGGCTCTAAAATTTCCTTCAGTCTTTTCGATTGCATGAAAGTCGCGGTAGCTTGCAAGACATCGGCGGCATGCGTTGAATTGTGATAGCTGTTCTCCGATTTGTAACTGTATTCGATAACTGACAGCCACTTCTGCAGGACTTTCTCGTCGCAATTCAGTTTAGCAGGCACTTGGTATAGATTCATAATCGTTGATCCCAGAAAAACAAGCGGCCTATAACATACGCAGAAATCGGAGTAAAATCAATTTACCAATAGATCATGTCTCGAGTTAAATAGTACATGTTAAAAATAGTAATCTGCGATCCAAATTATAAGAATCTCATGATTTCATGATAAAGCATACGTTGATCTTTCGACTCACCTCTTCTCCGTCAGTACTTCGAGCTTAAATATCTCAAACTCCCATTCGAGACTGTTGTCTAATACATCTGCGATTTCCTGCGGTCCACGGAAACTTTTCATAGACACACGTGCATTAGTCGGACCGGTGATAGGTCTGATAGTGGACAATCTTGCGGAATCTGCCGACGATCTTCTCGAGTCCCACGTTGTTCGAGAGTTCTGTTTACCAAACAACATAAAATATTAGAAAATATTGAAATACCGAGGGAGGATGTCTTAAGCAGTCTACATATTTGTGATATAATTTTTTCATCGAGCGAAACAAAAGGAAAATAATGGGCTCTTACGGCAAGTAATGCGCCAACGAGATCTTGCGCAACCGGATCATTGTAGATTTTGTCCTCCTTGAGGTGTGGCACATATAGTTCCGTCGTCTTTAAGATATCGATTGCCTGGAAAGAGCGGTGCGCAACATATATCTAACTGGGTAGGCGTGTCTACGATACGACGATACGAAGGATACGCGATTCGGTTAATCGCAAAACGCACCTTATCGATTTGTGCCGCTGTTTCCGGATTCGTTGTGTCTGTCACTGCATTTGAAAGTAACGTAATGACTTTGGTAATGGGAGCTTCCAGTTGCAAGGTGTGCAGTTTCTGCAAGCTGGACCGCCGGCGGCCTGCGATAAAAATATAATCTCTCACACGAAAAAAAAGGTTTGGTTGAATTAACCAAATATCTGGTCGAATATGAACGATTCAGAAATTCCGATTGGAGTAACCCGAATTCTGTTTAAGTCAACCAAAAATCTTGTTAACTTAAACAGAATTCGAATTACTTCAATCGGAATTTCTGGATCGTTCATATTCGACCAGATATTTGGTTAATTCAACCAAACCTTTTTTTCCATGCATAATAGTGCGTACGAAGGATCAATCAATATATTAAAAAAATTTTTTTCTGAAATATTACTTAGTTATTTTAGAAATATTGATATGAACTTATATGATATACATCAATGGAATTATAGTCTTACATCTACAATTTCAATGATTTTTTGGCCATAGAAATATATCGATGCAGAATGTTAATACTAAAACGACAGATCTGAAAGCTTTCACACTATACAATATCTAGAAAAACTGTCCCAGTTTTGTATTATTAAGTTTCTTGACATGTTTACAACGATGATATGTAACGTTGATATCGGTCGCACACGATAACTCTTAACGTAAAAGTACTGCAATGTGCTATAAATAAGGTACATCGTAAAATTCTCGATGACCCGATTAGTACTTTCAAATACGTTCTTACTTGTATCAATAAACTTTAGTGATAACTATTTGCGTCGGTTGAATGACGCTTCTTGGAATTTTTCGATGTTACAGTCAGTTGATGTGTTAATGTATCGCTTAATGGATTTATTGAAATACCTTACCCTCGCTTACACCAGATCTGACGTCCGAGTGTTTTCGCGTGTTCGACAATATGCTCGTTCTTAGAGGAGGATGCAACGGGCTAGCAATTGGGCTTATCGGCGTTATATTTTCCGACAGATACGTAGTGTCGTATACGTATATGTAATGAGTTGGTTTCCTACAGATAAATATAATAGTTGATGCTGTATGTTAATAATGGAAAAAATTGATACAACGCATTAGCGAAGGAATAATTTAATGATAATGATTTGTACGTTGAGAAATCGATTTTGATCGTAACAATATATGGAAAACTTTATCGAAAAATATTAATCAAGACCAAGTATAACGGTACCTCATTTAGAAGAAAAATTTAAACGTAAGTGTGTAATGTGTTGGATCTCGAATGGTTTCTTCAATATTATGACAAGAGAACGTACTTCAGCGTGGTGCAAAATGGAATTATTCGGCAATTGATCGTGATCATCTGGTTGTTCTTCCTCTTGCAATTCATATTTCCTTCGAATTCCCGGCCTTTACTCAATTGCTGTTCCATTAGAGCGAAATTTTCATAGAACACTATTTCCGACAGATTTCTCCCCATCATTTCCTCTGTCGTATATCCTAACAATTTTTCGCTGACTTTATTTTGAAACTAAAAATAACGTGACATTATAATCTACGTATATCGACTTTGGAAAGATATTGTTTCTTTCGTATTTATTGAGGTACATATATCGAACGGATTACATAATGCGCGTGCAAATGAGAGAGAATACGTATTTTCTTTACTTAATAAAAAATATTGCGAGCATAGCCATACAAAACATAATAAGTGAATTCCAAGTCGTTACTCACGATACCTGTACAACGTTCTTATCGTTGGTTACATGAACCATATCGCGACATCTGTCAAGTGCCAAGTACAGTGCATGCGCCGCTGCGAGTTGCGTTCTCGGCAATAACGAGCTAGTATATATTCCGACTAATTCGTTTATTAATATACCCTCGTGCGAACATTCTATCATAGCCTAAAATATTAAAATTGAAATGAATGAGGAGACTAGTCACAACATATTTGATGTTTAATTTCTCGATGTTTGTTCATAAGTGCTTACTCTGCTAAAGCCTGTTTCCAACAAGTTCAACGCCGCAATATGGTCTTTATCAGCGAGCATAAAGTATCTGGAAGATACACGAGACTCAGATTAAATAGAATTAAAATAAGTAGCACAAAAAGACATTGTAAGACTTACGATTTCTTTACGAGCGCTATTATGACGGAATTATGATGAACCGGGCTTGCCCTGAGCGCTCTAGAATATATATTTTTACAAATTCAAATGAAATAACAGATAAACAAGAAATTTAAAAAAAGAAATTTAAAAAAAGAAATTAAAAAAAAAAGTATAAAGTTTATCACATATATATTTAAGAAATTTAACTGTTTTTACTATAAAAATTTTACTATAAAAAATAAACAATAAAAATTGTTGTTGATAGAAATTCCTCAAAAAACTCGCTTGATATTAACCTATATTTTTAGAATATTTATTTAATATATGTAATTTTAATATTATCTCTTAATAATTTGTTATATATGAAACTTTCCGTGCATGCCTTAAAAACTATTTAAGACTAAAAATCATATATATAGATATCTCTCTCTCTCTCTCTCTCTCTCTCTCTCTCTCTCTCTCTCTCTTTCTCTTATTATTACTTTTGTCTTATTTTCACATATACATTATGCAAATATTATATACTATATAAACATTCTGCCATACCTACAAATAGCATCGCCCTCGGTCGCACGATGTCCCCTATGATCGATGATCACCAATTCATGAGCACGATTTTGAAAGAGTTCTATCGCTTTTTCCGCGTCTTTCGCCACCGATACGCTCCAGCCCAATTTACTCGCAGTTGTAGCAAGTATCTCCATTTGTTGATCATCTTTACTAAAGACTAATAATATCTGCGTAATAAAATAAAAATTATATCGACAGAAGCATGAAGAAAGAACTCAAGCGTCACTCAAGCCTTTACGAGTCACTATAAACTACGACGTATCATAAACCGGTTATCATACTTACTTTCACAATACTAGGAACAGAGGTTGTCAACAGATGAGCATTGACGTCTTGAGGGCCTTTCTGTGAACAAAGAAAAATAGCCAAAGATGTACAATATTGTTTTTACATAGTTGAGTAAAAAACGACGATTAACTTTTTTAGTATTTTTCTCCAAACTTCGGTTTGCTATCAGAAATGATTTTAATAAGCGAAATCTAATCTAAGGCACCTAATATTGATGCATCGATATCACTATCGAATACATACTGGCTCCTCTTTATTTAGTAACGTTTCCTCGAGTAGCTTGTAAATTTTCGCTCGACGACGCGCGCGTGGGCATTTTTCCGCGCTGATAGCGGTCTCGAAATACGTAATAGGATCTTCCATTTTCGCGATGTATTAATGAATTAGATTACAATATAATATAACCCGTACATGTCAGCTACACGACGATAATCGAATAACGTATTTAATGAATGTATACAACTTCAAAGTGAAATAATAGAGACCGATTTTGAAGTACGTGATCAAGCGCTCTAGTGTGGAATTTTCATTTTGTTAGATACAACCTAAGGTATTTTGTAGTTGGTGCGAAATGAATTCACTGTAGTGTCTCTCAATATAATATCTCTTTCTTCAAAGTATATCACATTTGAAAATCAGAAGAATCATGAACACACGTATCAAAGCTTTCCAAAAATGTGGATTCCAAAAATTCGTACCCTAATGAGCTTCACTAATTGTAATTCGGTGGGAGTCGACTCAGTCACTCGCATTCTATTTCTAGCGCAGCATTCCTTCCGTATACTCCCACACACGACATTGAAGACGCTATTATACCACGTACGCGATTCCTCTTTGTAAACATTATTGTCATCGATCGCACTGGAGACATAGATCACCGGTTGAGTCGATTGCCTGATCATCTCTCAGTGTCTTATTAGCGAAATAAAATCGCAAATGCATAGGCGACAATGCATCACACTGCACGTTGGCAGTTCGAATCTTATTGATCGTCACACGCGACATTCATCATTGGCGAATTAATTCGCGAATTAACGTCTCGATCTAACGTTATCTCATGACTATCCGGTTCGATTTGCAATTGAAAATTTCACATGTTAACGGCGATTCTTAACTTCGTCGAATCGCTGCTGCGAATCGCGGAATGTTACGTTACGTTTGAGAAGACGACCATCGCGATACTGATCATCGATCGAGATAGATAGCGAGATCGTTCGCTTGATCGAGAACAGAAGTCCTCTATGTGTGATAAGATGCCCGCATGTTAGCGTACTAGAGTTCCTACAACTGCTGATAACGAATTTTATGGAAAAGTCGGATAAAAGTGCAATTTCTGAAAAGAAGTATTTACAAACAAGTGATATCGTAATTTTTGCCGTATAATTTTTACAATTTTTACTTCAATTAACGTAGTACGATGCTATGATAAATAATATGTTTCGATAAACGTTTCATTATTTCCTGAATATTTTGGGTGGGTCTTAAATAACTCCAAATGTTATATCTACTATCTAGTGTCTGGACCATTAACAACAGTTTTTCAACATATTAGTCAAAATCCTCGAAAAGATTCGTATTTGCTACTATCATTATTATAGATTTGCAATTAACTAAATTGTCGCATAGCGAAGTAATTTCTTGCGACTTACACTGTAAAAAATTTGTGTAAAATTATATCTATTATAATAGGTAATTTTGAGATCAACTATTATAGATGTAAATTTATACACGTAATTATCGCATAAAAATATATTTATATAGACAAAAGGCACATTTTGATACGTGTGTAAATTTACAACTATAATACTTGGTCTCATAATTATATGGAATTTTACACAAATTTTTTACAGTGTACAACTTACAAGTAACTTACTTTCGCAGACATCACAATTTGAGTCATAGCGTTATAGCTGATTTCTTCTGCATATCGCCTCGATCAAATAGAGGTTCCGAAATCAGAAAGAAAGAGAAATTTTACAGTCAGTTCGCACAAGTTTGATTCTCTCATTGCTTTGTGAGGATTATTTTCAATCAAAAAAGCGTACGCCAGAACGAAAGACACATGAGGCTCATGTTAGTTTTTTTTCAATTGTCGGGAGAAGATAAACCATAGGAAGGGTGGAAAAGTTCGTTTGGAACGTTCAGTGGAAAAAAAGTTCTTGGATCGAGGAAAAAGCTTTGCAACAAAAGAACTGCGGCCGTCGCTTTATCGATTCGCTGCGAGTCACTTCGAAGTACTAATTAACAAATAATCGCCTTCTGCAGAGGTGAACGTGCGACAGCGATACGGTTATAATAATATGCGATTATCTCGTCACGTTGATTCTCCATTTTCATACAACCTGAAAGAAGGGAGGAGGAAGCGATTATTGATCTGAATAGCGTTTCATGAGCGAAAGAAGGTCACGTCACATAGAAGTGCGACGCGAAAATTCGGGAGTATCAACGGGTTGTTTCGCGAACTGACCGTTTAGAACTTACATCAAGCAAATATCCTCGTCTCTAAAAAGAAGCACTATACTGTCAAACTTTGTCCAATTTTTTTCAAAACGCTCGCTCGGACTAGCTCGCTCGCCGATAACTCAATCGGAATAATTGCCGTGCGTGACAATATCTGACTAGGTTTCACTCCGTCTGGAATAGCTGCTTGACTATAGAGAGTACATAAGCGAGTACGTTTAAAAGACGATTAACGCGAGGAAGCGACGGTAAAGCGGAAAAAATGAGAGAGACTAACGTCGCCGTTACTCGACGCGCACTTCACACACTGTTGCTTAAATAGGATATGTTCTTTCGGCTTCAGGTGAACTATAGCTCTTCACCAGCGACGCAGAGAAAATCAGAAGTAGCGATTGCACGTCGGAAATAATGGAAAGTTGATCGCGTAGTAGCTTTACACTTGAAGGGTTCCGACCGGGCGAGCACCGGCCGCACGATTGATTTTTCTCCCTCGCGCGTTTTTACGACACGCGTCGCACAAAATACAGCACCCCTTACTTGACACTGTCCGAATAATCGAAAACAACGACGACAACGTATTTATATCCGCATATCCCGGCCGCAAACAGCTCGTTGCTTTCGACTGTCGTTCTCCATCCGGCTGTTTCAACTATCTAGAAACTGTCTATAGACAGTCTATAGACACCTGTCTATAGCGGATCTATAGCTCGGTCGAGCAACATCTCGACTCGTCGAGGGAAGGTGGTTGAATGAGAGAAATCAGCCTTACTGCGATTGCGCGTGGCCGATTAATTATTCAGACGGCGTTTCAACCGGCGTTTACGCTCGCGTTGTCGAGGCGCACTCGACGATTTTCATATTTAATCGAGGGGGATGAATATCGAACTGATCGAGCATTACCCTTTCGTCACCCTCCACAGAACTTTGTGGTAAACGCCACGCGAATTATTGAAAAGATGGTCGGTGGAAGGCCGCGTCAGCGTTACGCAGAAAGCGCGTGTATATTTAGAATCCATGGCTCAGGACTTCTATCTTATAAATCGCAGGGGGTTGGAGGAGCTTGATTGCAGGCTATACGATGAAACCCTGTGAGAACGGAGAGGGCTGACGGTCGAAGACTACCCTTTGCTGGATTATTCTCCGACTGTTTTTTTCTTTTTTTTTTCTTTCTCTTCTTTGTTTTTCGTCGAGCTCCCTTAACGATCGAATATCCCTCGCGAAAGGGATTCATATTGCCTCTCTTTTTGAACTATTTATGCGCGCACTTCCGCGTCACTTGTTTTTTCTTTTTTTTTTTTTCAAGAACTTCTCTTTGCTGCAATAGTCCATGTAACTTTCGCGATTTTCTCCTATATGACGAGAGTTATTTATAAGAAACCAAGAACAAAGGTTGCAATTGTAATGAAATATTACTTATTCGAAATTTATTATTTGAATATCATCTCGATATTATATTACACTGTATAATGAATTTGTACATGCTGCCGTAATTAATTTCTCTCTCTGATATTGAATAGAAATGATTAGTAATTCAGATATCGATATTCGGTATCGGTAGATAAAATAAAGAGACGACGCGAAACATTAGGAGATATGTACGGTATGCCGTATGGAATTTTACTATTGAGATATAACGTAGTGCACGTAACTGTGTTAAATTTCCACGGTATCACAAAAGATTAAAAAAGAAATAGCTGCGATCGATCCGTTGCTACGGAGACCAGCCTACCTCTTATCCGCATTCAAAAATATGAAGTGGAGCAATGATTCTTATCTTTGATTACGAATGTGGAAGAGTCTAGATAGCAGGACCGTGATTAATAGAAACACGATAACACCTACCTACGTCACATGCCGCGTCATTTTCCGTCAAGTGCATCGTCTTTAATGACTTTGAGACTTTGTTTATAGATTTATGGAGACTTTTGCAAAAAATCCGACAAAATAACATGTCCAAAAGAAATAATAAGACGAAATAAGACCATATCTTTTACCATGTCTTGAAAGGAATCATAGCAAATATTTATCATATGTTAATAATTTCACTGAAAGAACTTTTTAACTGTGAAGATTGAAGATTGTCTCTCATATTGTAAACATAATGATAATTCACAGAATAATAAATCGTAAAACTCTGAAAATATAACTTTATAATATGCAGTATAATAAACAATAATAAGTAACAGTATAATAAATTATATTGTTTGTAAATTTTTTTTTTAACTTTTATCCAGATCATTCGATTAAATAGTCGATATTTATTATATAAAAATTCTAAAACATTTTTTATGTAAATCCAATTACCAGAATTTTCAACAAGATGCACAATCAGAGATAATTGTACAGAAAATGAGCCAAATTATCGTGAACATAATAAACAATGTGAAAGTCACTTACAATGGTCAGGTAATCGCTGCTCTCATCATTATCCTCGAAAGGCGTTTTCTCATCCACAATATCAAGCACATCCGTCTTGCCTGAAACATTGAATATTCATAAGTTCAGTTACGAGCGGATTTTTTTTAATAATCAAACTGAATTTCCAGGCAAAAAGTAATTGTTAGTACGTGATCGCAATACATTAGCGAAAATCTATTATCAGTAGAATCATTTGATTTTATGTAATAGAAAGAGAGAAACTCTTTTTAGATATCGGATCTTTCCTCGCGTTCCCAATCTATCAATTAACGCGTGATTTAGTTGTCATTGCACCGGTAATTAACGATCAGTGCTCGTTGAAGATGCGTTCACCTATTCAATGCGCGTATCTTATGAGGTTTGTGGGTCACAGTAGCATTAATTGCAATTAAAACACAACTAGGCTTAATTGACCGGATAGATTGATCCCTGCTCTACTTTTTTCTTTTTTTTTCGAAAGAACGTTATAATCATAAGATGAAAAAAGTAAGACCACTATAAAAAATTATATAATTATATAATGAGTATACGTGTATTCAAGGTTGAGTCAAGGCTTGAATATGAATTTATACGAATATAAGTTTATACGAAAAAGTTACGTGACGATGTTTTACCCACCGTTGCTATATAACTCATCTTCCAAGCTGTCTTCGTCGTCGCTTGGGAAAAAATACCTATTCGGCGATGATGCCATATATGAATTATGTTTTCAGCTTTGCGATCATTGAATTATGTCATTTCGCACCGTACGTGAAATCTGTTTGTGTGCCTTTTCTCATTATACCGACAGCGTGTTACGTTATTACTCGTCACGGTTAGTGGTCGGCAAAAGCACGTATTTTTCTTGTAAAACATTCACGAAAACGCACACTGTGAAGCAAATTATGTTCATGCTTTCTGAGTTATCACAAATACGTTTAAGTTATCAAGGCAAAGTCCATCTGACATTCCTCTAATGTTCGATTTGGCACTCCTATATTTGGGAACAGTACAATAAAAAATTTGCGAACGACACACTCACTCAAAGAAGCGTTAATTTTACGGAATTTCACATTTGATGGGCACTGAAATACGATCTGTTTCGATTAAAACGCGTTCGAAATCGCGAGCAGACGCTGAACCGAAGATAAAAATCAGCGAACGCACCGAACGATGTGCCGTATGCGGCCCAAAGACAACGACTGACCGAGAGAACCGAATCGACCAAGTTAAAATTCTACTCGAGAGTGACTGGCCCCAGAAGAGCGACGCGATAGCGTCGTCGGGGAGATTCGAGATACTGTAGGTCCATTTAGCTCGATACACGCGTAAAAAGTGCGTATCACGGCAAAGCAAGTTTTAAAAAGTGAAGGGATAATAGAGCAGAAAACGCCGAAATAAGTAAGAGTTTGGAATGTCACTTTGGCTGGGAGAAGAAATATTCCGAAATTTAACATAAATCAGAAACTAAGTTATTGGCAAACTTGTTGCATCTTACATGTAAGTATCATAAAAGTTAAACTGTTCTGTACATTTCTCACGTAGATTATTAAATTTTCAAGCATTTTTATTTCAATGTATAATAAAGCTACTAACGCGAACATAGATTATTGAATTTGGAAGTAAAGAAGTTATCTAGTTTAAGAGAATAGACAATATTATAGAGATCAAATCTATATAATCTTCCCAAATGCCTCCAAATAACTTGAGAAATAATTACACGACGATCGTTTTGCATATGAAATTATTCAGGATCCGCTTCGTTCGAAATAAAAATCGCACGTTACGGTATAACCTCAAGCCCGATAAGATAAAAATCCGAGCAACAGGTAACTTGCTTACGCATTAAGAGACAACGTAAATGTCATCGATATTAACTAAGTATGGTAATTCACATAGATATTGTGCTTAATGATTCCGCATATCAGCCAGACTCAACAAAATAAATCTCGAGAGAATAAGATACGCGGTAGATATCAATATCGATGAGAAATTTCCTAGATTATGTAAAACGTATACAATGGGTAAAAAAAAAAGTATTTGCGTGTCTCATCATTCTTAAGATAAATTTTTACAGAGTCAAAAACATATTTTGCAAGATATTCTTATCAGTATATATAATATAATATAATATAATATTTTTTTGTATTAATTTACTGCAAACAAATAACGATATTTTTCTTCTAGTTTAATATTATTTCAGGAACGATGAATTATATGCAAATATTTTTTATCTTACTGTGAGCAGCACTTCAATTATACTTGATGTTAAATGGCTTCACATAATAATCATAACTAACGTTGCGGTACTTTGTGAGCGTCCTCTTCGGTGACAAGACGACGCACGCCGAACACGAGACACGGGCTGCTTTGTTCCCTGTCAGTCTCCGTTACGTCTGTAAATAACATTTGCGTATAAATGCGTGTAAATGGTAGACTCGAACAAATTGTATTTTAAAGTGTAGATTCTTTAGAAAATCGATGACCGATGAAGTACCTGATCTGCATTTACATACATAGACCTGATAAGATGCTGCGCGACATGTTCGATTCGAATGCGTAACGTCAATATTCCGATCGAATCGTACTTGAATTCGTGCGTATGCAACTGTACAATATTTATTTATAAAGCACCGCGTGTTGTTTGTAAAGAGAAACGGATAAAGCCCTATGTTTGCGTAATCTTCACGTAACATGCACGATAGCTCCCGGCATTGACTGTAGTTACGTGTCTTAAATAATGCCCAATAAACCTCAATTCCTCGCACGCGAATTGCTAACTATAGGAAAAGGAATGTCTTACGAGAAATAAGTACGTCTCTTACAATGTCTAAAAATAAAAAACAGCAGAACGGAATTTAATAAATAGAAATATACATGTGCTGAAATATATACCTCGGCACACACCCAGTTATATATATATATGTATAGACACATATACACATACTTGTCCGCATTTGTAAAGAAGGTGAAAAATTAAATTAATTAAGGTGTAAAATTAAATTAAATTATGGAAGACCAAGTTGGACGGAAAAGTCCAACCAATTAGTTTCTAATGGACGGAAAAAGAGCTTCCGCTAATTTACTAGACCGGTGTCTAAAAATAAAATAAATTTTAAAATGTAGTATAGATAGTCCTTGCACTGTGTATAAAAGTATTAGAACATAAATTAGAAAAAAAAAAATTCTATTATAAAGTACCGTTATCATACATACACACACACACAATTTAAAAAAAGTAAATTTATATCTCTTGAGAAAGTAAATTTTTAGAAAATTTAGACTACAGGATCACCGACAATTTCCAATCTAAAGCCACGTAAAGTTAAAGGAAGATATTTAGTGATACAAGTAGGAGTGATACTAGATATAGTATCACTACGGAGGTCCTTGAGCATAGAGAATAATTTGCCGTGTCCCAGAATCGATCTTCGAGTGCGAACTATTACGACCCTGGCACGACATGGCGCGCAGACTCCTAAGTCGAAAAAGTAGGAACGTAGCGCCGAAAGTACCTATCTGTGGATCCATATATCTGATTAATTCTCATCTCGAACGATGACTCCCAGCCAGCGCACAGCATACGGTGCGGTGGTCAGTCGTAGACTAGGTCAAGGAGAATGACTGTTACCTGAAAAGTCCACCTCCCTGCCCTTCCCTCCTCCTTCACGAAAGGTACGCATCCGTCACGTGAACGCGCGCGGTAAAGTTCTGATCGTAATTCAATCTTTGTTGACGTCACAACCGACTCCGCGGTTAGAAATGAGAAAAGTCGGATTTGATCGGAAAAAATGCCTAGAAGTATCGAAGTAACCGTATTCTCAATTGCAATGAAACGTTTGGCCGTAAATCGCTCTTGGTATCTTTATAAAAATTCAAGCAACGATCGATAACACTGATCGATAGATGCACTTGAATAATTTTCATATAGACGAAGACAC